TAAAGATGTCAATTCCCCCAAACTAATATGTAGCTATAATAAAATTCCTATCAAAATCTCAGCAAGATATTTTAATAGATACAGACAAGATAACTCTAAAATTTATATCAAAAGGCAAAAGAACTAGAATATCTAAAACAACTTTGAAAAAGAAGAATAAAGTGTGAGGAAACAGTCTACCTGATTTCAAGACATATTATATAGCTACAGCAATCAAGGTTGTGTGGTATTGACAGAGGAACAGAACAGAGAACTCAAACATAGACCCATGCAAACATGTCCAATTAATTGTTGGCAAAGGTGGAAAGGAAATTCAATGGAGAAAATACAAACTTTTTATCAAATGGTGTATGACTAGTTGGACATCCGTAGGGATGAACCCATACAAAAAATAGCTCAAAATGGGTTTTGGACTTAAATGTTAAAAATAAACTATAAACTTTTAGAAAAATATGTGGGTGACCATTTTCATGTCTAAGGCTAGACAAAGAGCTTTTAGACTTGACACTAAAAGTACAATCCATAAAAAGAAAAATTGTTGAATTGGATTTCATCAAAATGAAAAACTTTAGCTCTGCAAAAGACTCTGTGAAGAGGATGAAAAGAAAATCTACAGACTGGGAGAGCATATTTGTGAATTATATATCTAACAAAGGACTAGGATCTAGAAAGTAAAAAGAGCTCTCCAAATTCAATGGTTAGAAAAACTCCAATTTGAATATGGGAAAAACACAAGAACAGACATTTCACTAAGGATATAAAGACGGCAAATTCGCACATGAAAAGATATTTGGCAACATTGGTGGTTAGGGAATGCAAATTAAAATCAAAATGAGATATCAGCACAAATCTATCAGAATGGCTAAAATAAAATAGTAATAACACCAGAGCTGGTGGGGATGTGGGAGAATGGATCACTTATACCTTGCTGGTGGGAATGCAAAATGGTGCAGGTACTCTGGAAAATAGTTTGACAATTTAAAAAAAAAATTAAGCATGCAAGTCTTATACAACCCAGAAATTCTACTGTTGGGGATTTATCCCAGAGAAATGAAAACCTATACATAAAGGTTATAGATCCTTTATTTGTAACAAAAACTGGAAACAACCCAGATATCCTTCAATGGGTGAGTGGTTAAACCAACTGTGACACATTTATACCATGGAATACTACTTAACAATAGAGAGGAACAAATAATTTATGAAACTTTAAAGAATTATGGTGAGTGAAAAAAAAAAAGCCAACCAACACCAAAAGGTTATATACTGTGTGATTCCATTTATATAATATTCTTCAAATGACAAAACTGTAGCAATAGCGAACAGATAGGAGGTAGCCAGGGATTAAGGGGGGAGTGGAGGCTGGATGCAAGCATGTGTAGATGTAAAAGGGTGACATGAACAATCGTTGGGGTGATGAGAACATTCTGATCTTGATTATATCAATGTCAGCATCCTGGTTGTGATATTGTCCTGTCGTTTTGCAAGGTATTACCAAAGGGCGTATATCTTTTTGTATTACTTCTCACAATTGCATGAGAATCCACACTTACCTCAAAATAAAAAGTTGCATGAAAAACAAACCAACAAAAAAATAGCTTCCTGGGTGAAAAAAAATTGTCATAGATTCTCTGAAAGGAAATTCCAGCCATTCTGGCAGTAAGCTACCACAGTGTATAGATGTTCCGTAAAGCAGCTTTACCCAGTGATCTGCCATTTGTCCACAGGCTGATGTCCTATGCATTAAGACAGAGGCTCCAACATTCTGAGAGTAGGACGTGGGCACGTTTCTGCCAACCTGTGATGCTCATTTTGGAGCTGACACTGATTTCACTCTAAAATGTTAATGCTACAGGGTCTACAGTGCATGAAAACCATTGAAAGGAAAACTCGATGTTAAGCAATGCACCTTGTCATAAAGACCTCCTAGGTATTTAAAATGAAAGTCCTATGGCTTTAGTAAATCTGAAACCTTGAGGTATAAATTGAGTACTTTGATTTTATGCTGCATTTATTTTTCATTAAAAGCAAGTAAGAATCCACATATCTTAATAATTTGTAAAATATATCTTACCTCTCCCCCCTAATTGTCATCTTTCTGCCCTCTCCTCTCTTCAACAAATGAGCCAGGAGAATCTTAATTTAGTCAAGTAGATGTATGTCAATTTTGCTGTTAAAAAGAAAGGCACCCATTTGGTGAGCCAAATCACCTGCACACTTTAAAAAATCCTTGCCAGGATTTTATAACCACAAGAAAACTTTCCACCAGATGATAAAAAATTTGATGTGCAGTCAAAGGAGCCAAGCCAGCTTGCTTGTTTCCTTCCTATCAGTTTTTCTGATAGGTTTGTCCTGTTGTTCCAGAAATATTCTCAAGTAATTTTTAAAACCCCAATAACTTCTTATCCCCAAGAATAAAATAAAAATGAGTTCACCATTCATCTCTGGGGTGCCTCAGGAATGAACAGAATCATAAACTACACATGTCCTTATCCACACCATCCAGCAATGATATAATTCTCCTGAAGTTTGCCCCAATAAATTCTGGAGATGGGTCAGTGCTCAGTATTTTCAGTCTGAGTAGGTCTGTTTGTACCTCGCAGCTGTGTCTTCCATGGCAGCCATTTGTCCCCTCTGCTTAGAGCGTGTGTAGAAGGAACGCACCACAGGAAATCTAAGTAAAACTCTTTTGACAAATACTCCTAGTTCTCTGTTTTTGGACACCCAAATTTCATTTCACAATGAAAAAATTCACAGAAAACTAAGAGTGTGGCCTCATTTACACACTAGAAGTCTTTTTCTTCATTATGCATCCTATCCAGAGATACTTATTTTTGTGAGAACCTCTGATTGTGGATACTTACATATAAGCTTTTTAGGTCTTGTTCCTTCTTGGGGTTCCCTTAAACCATCATAAAAGACCAGAAATGTGGTGAACAGACATATTAGCTGTTTTGGAGACTATCCCTCCAAAGAAGGGTTGACCAAGGCAATTATTTCCCTTCCTTATAAGTATTTTAAAAGTCAAAGCAAAATAAAGAAACATTTGTTGAGGTATTGTGTCTGTTATGTGTAAGGTATTGTGCAAGGCTTCGGGCAGCGTGAGCAAGCAGCCTAAACCAAGCCCTTGCCCTCAAGTGGCTTGCAATCTAGCAAAACAAACAAATCTATTCAGTATAAATATATTCAATGAAGATATTGAGTAATAGTGTGAGATGGCAATAAAATCTGGCATAATAATAACAATAGCTTGTTCAGAATTAAAGAAATTTTCCTTCGCCACGTAGTCCAAGTTCAGCAGAGGGAGAGAACAAGTCAAGCTTGGGTCCCAGAAGAGAGGTCTGACGGGGAGCAGAGAGCTCGGAGGATGAGAGCCCCTCTGTGGAAGGTGCTGCTTCCCGGTTTTCTAAAGAAATGGACTCGCTATCATTTAGAGCATCCTCAAGGGTCGGAATTGTTATCAACCAAGATGTCAATGTTCCAAGTACCCTATTCTTTATTTTCTGAAAGCAATTTCAGACTACTTTGTGCCTCCCCTCCCTAGCCCTGCCAACCCCCAAGCCCTGTGCCGCAGCGCGGTAGCTGCGCTGAAAAAAACAAAAACAAAAAACGCTGTAGAGCTTTCTCGCTATTCCCCACAAATTCTCACCTTAGAAATTGTACCAGAGAGTGAAACCCCCTGGGCGGCAGTCAGCAGAAGGACTAGCTGATACAGTGTTTTTGTCCTTCTTTGGGATGACGACACACACATTTTTTTCTTTTACCTTTTTTTTTATTCTTATGTTAATCCCCATACATTACATCATTAGTTTTAGATGTAGTGTTCCATGATTCATTGTTTGTGCATAATACCCAGGACACACACATTTTTGAGTGTCACTTTGAGATGGAAGAGTTGAAAAGCTGGCTTAGATTCCTGGAGGAGGTAATAGTAAAGCCTCCCGATTTACAGTCCACGCCAGTGTCTTTGCAGACACCAGTCTGGCTTTTTATTTTATTTTATTTTATTTTATTTTATTTTTATTTTTTTAAAGATTTTATTTATTTGACAGAGAGAGACAGCGAGAGCAGGAACACAAGAAGGGGGAGTGGGAGAGGGAGAAGCAGGCTTCCCGCCGAGCAGGGAGCCCGATGCGGGGCTCGATCCCAGGACCCTGGGACCATGACCTGAGCCGAAGGCAGTTGCTTAACCAACTGAGCCACCCAGGCGCCCCAGTCTGGCTTTTTAAAAGCTCTCCCTAGCACTGATTCCTCCATCACTGCGTAACGAGCCGGAGTGAAGGGCCTCAGTAGACAGAGCACTGGGCTGCCGTCTTACTGCCTCTGGCCTCCAACTGCCAGCGAGTCATTTCTGCCTATAAACAGGAAGGGGGCGGGGGCGCCCGGGGGTCTCAGATGGTTAAGCGTCTGCCTTCGGCTCAGGTCATTGTCCGGGGGTCCTGCAATCGAGCCCCGCATGGGGTTCCCTGCTCAGCGGGGAGTCTGCTCCTCCCTCTCTCTGCTCTTCCTCCCCCCATGCTCTCTCTCCTTCCCTCAAATAAATAGATAATATCTTTTATTTTTATTTTTTTTTAAAGATTTTATTTATTTATTTATTTGAGAGAGAGAGAGAATGAGAGAGAGAGAGCACATGAGAGGGGGGAGGGTCAGAGAGAGAAGCAGACTCCCTGCTGAGCAGGGAGCCCGATGCGGGACTCGATTCCTGGACTCCAGGATCATGACCTGAGCCGAAGGCAGTCGCTTAACCAACTGAGCCACCCAGGCACCCTAGATAGTATCTTTTAAAAAAACAAAATGAAAACGAAGGGAGTAGGCAGCTTTGCTGGACTTGGTACCACACCAGGTCTAGGTAGAGATTTGGTTGGATGGATGGTAATTCTACATAGATAAGAAGGCTTACGCATATTTCATATTTTATTTTCCTCTGTACCCGCAAATGTAATCTTTGCTAAGCTTGACCCTACTTCTGAATCTTAACATTTCCCCCTCCTCTTTTGAAGGTTGCTGGACATTGAAAGTGAAATGATCAGATTTGCCGGTTACTATGCTGGGATCGCTTTGGTAGTACTTATCACAGGATATATTCAAGTGAGTGGCTCCTCCATTTTATTTATACATCAACATCTGGGCTCAGAGACATTACAATGAACTGCAAAGTGCACTCTCTAACTTTTAAGTTGTTCGGAAGCCCTAAGGACTACAGTTTTATTTGGAGGTGGAGGGGGGATGAGAGGATGGGGAAGGATTCTTCTCAGACAGGGAGGAAAATACACGCAGTTGTCTAGAGGGACGGAGACTAAACTGAATTTCAATGCCCTGTCCTCCCCCACCCCCTCTATTTCATCTTCTAAACTCAAAAATAGGTGGTTGTGGGTGTGTCTGTAAAGGGAGTGTGGCACCCTGGAGAAAGCCATGCATGAGGGGGGTTGGAGGAAAGCAAACTTTACTTTTTTTTTCTCTTTCATTGATAAAATCTCACCAATCTGTGTTCCAACCCCAATTCTGTAAAGTTGATCTAGTCTAGATTTAAGCCATGGAAGGGCCTGGAGTTACTTAATCCTTATTAAAGAAGAAAAATATTTCATCTTTTACCTTCTTCTGTAGAAGAAATAATGAATCCCCTCAACCCGCATTCATTCAAGAATTCCAGGAAGTTCATGTTCACTGTAAAGAGAAATGAATCCATTTTCCCCATTCTGGTACTGAGAGTTTTAATGACAGCCTGACTTTGCTTGGTTGGGGACAGCTAACAGTAGATTCCCTGTTTATGTCATAATTTTTGTCTTCCTTTCTCTGAAAAATCATTGTCCAACAGTCTGAAAACTATGCATACATGCTTGTTGGCAGGCCTCTCGGCGGGGGGGGGGGGGGGGAGTGGGGAGTGGCGGGGGGAATACACTCAGAAGCTCCTTGCAAAAATAGGGATATAAGAGCAAGAATTTCTTTTTGGCACTGTGAGCCTTCCTTTACGCATGCAGAAAGTGAAGCTTGGTAAGGCTAGATCTACAGGTGGCAAAACCAAATTCACACCCAAACCTTCTAGCTTCCCTGGCCACAGCTGTTCCGCTCACCCCACTTTCAGCAGCAGGTGCCTGAGCTCACATGGCACGTCCCATGACTTGGCATTCTGTGAATCACTTTCCTCTCTTTCTAAAGGCTTATATTGAAAGTATTTTCTTCTGAAAAGAGAAGGAATGAATGAATATTTTTAACATCACAATGCCAAACATCCTTGCTCCATTTTCAGATATGCTTTTGGGTGATTGCTGCAGCTCGTCAGATACAGAAAATGAGAAAAGTTTCCTTTAGGAAAGTAATGCGAATGGAAATAGGATGGTTTGACTGCAATTCCGTGGGAGAGCTGAATACAAGATTTTCTGAGTAAGTGGCTGGTAGGAGGTTTTAATGTATGTGTCCGCTTTTGATCATAGAACCCTTGTTTCTAAATTAAATAACAATTAGAAACACATTTTCAGTTATTTTGGATACATTTTGTCTCTTAAGTTGGGCTTTTACAGGTAACATGCTTTTTTTATAGGTAATGCTTTATCCGATATGATTATTAACAATTGAAAGCCAGGATACTACAATTTTGTTTGTAGGCCCTGGATTAAAATATTAGAAATGAAGGATTACAGAAGAGAGTTGAAAGAAGTAGGGCTATTTGGCCTCTAAAAGAGAGACTGAGGGATGTCACAGTCCATGTATCTATAGGGAAAAACAATGTACTTAGAATGAATTATCTTGCCTTGTCTGTTGAGGTCATTTCTGCACATAAAAACAAAGACCAAAAAAAAAAAAAATCCAAAATAGTTTGAGAAACATTGAAACTAAACAATTGGATTTAAATCTGGTTTATACCTAAAGACTAGTTGGGGTAATTGATAACCCCCCCTCCCCTCCTCCTCCAAGTATTCTGAATGAGCCCTGAGTAATTAGAAGCAATTGAACCCTATTGAATTGAACTTTGGGGTCCCATGAGGTCCCATGAGAGAGTGTGTAGTATAGTGAAGACCAAAGACTGAATGTTGGGATACTTAGATTCTAGCACTCATTCTGCCCCTTACTTACTGTGATCTTGAATAGATACTTAACCTTGCTGGAATACAATTGTCAAATCTCTGGGTAATATCTTAGGTCCTTTTTTGCTATTAAGTCCTAAGCCCTATTTGCTCCATCTAAACAAGAGATTATGAGAATGTTGCTAGGAATATGAATTTAATGTAATTATATTCAACCTATATTCTAGAGGACTTACCGTATGCAAGCCATAAAAATAAACCACACAACTCCTGATCTCAGGGAACTTACAGCCTTGTTGGAGGGATAAAAACTGCAAGTAAATAAATAAAGCTGACACATTGATAGCTTACTATACTCTAAGCACTGTTCTATATACTTAACATATATTAACTAATCCTCATTACAACCCATTGAGGTAGGTTCTGTCTTTATCCCCATTTTACAGATGAGAAAACTAAGGTACAGAAAGTTTAAGTAATTTGCCCAGGAAGAGCTTGTGCTCAAATTCGGAGTCTGGCCCCAGAGTCTGTGATCTTAACCACTATTCTATACTACCTATAAGCAGAATGCAGTAATTATATACACGTACACACACAAACACAGATTCATTACATTGCTATGCAAACACAGGGAGGACTATATTAGTTTTTCCTCGAGGGTTTTTATGAATTAGGTAGCATGTGGGTTGCACCTTGAGGCTGAAAGGATTTAGCAGGTATAAAGAAGGAAAGAAGGGCTCTTCAGGACAGACCAAGAATATGAGCTATAGAAAGAAAGGGACAGATAAGATGGTTTCTGAAAGTCTTTGTCAACATCGAATGGACACCAGTTGGGAAACCTGGGTTGAGGAAAACTTTACTTGGCTGTGAGGGAGGGAGAGGCTTGATGACCTCACAAGCTATAGCAAGTTTCTTCAAATGTGAAAGGCTGTTATGTTTCTCATAGGCAATGGGGTACAGAGATGGCAGTAGAAGGGAAAGGCTGGGTTTTCTCAACAAGGCATTTGAATTGACCAAATTCAGTTTTAGTGATCCAAGTCTCTCGTTTCTAGGGATATTAACAAAGTCAATGATGCCATTGCCGACCAAATGGCCATTTTCATTCAGCGCATGACCACGAGCATCTGTGGGTTCCTGCTGGGATTTTACCAGGGTTGGAAACTGACCCTGGTCATTATCTCTGTGAGCCCTCTCATTGGGATTGGAGCAGCCATCATTGGTCTGGTAAGAATGTCTTCTCACTTTTCTCCAGGACATCTGCCCTGAGAAACAGCCAGAAATGTGAAACTTGATTCCTTTTTCCTGTGTATGTTTAGTCAACATTATTTATCACTGTTTTGATTTATTTTGTTTGGTTATTCCTCAGTATCAAATAACATTCCATCAATCCAGGGACTGATGATATTTTAATAACATAAATATTATTGTATTAGTAGCAATAACAACTACATTTATTGAGCATTTACTATTTTGCCAGGCACTATTAGGAACTTCATGTTTATTATCTCTAATCTTTACAACAATCTTATAAAGCATTAATGCCATTTTAAACATAAGAAACGGAGGCTCAGAGAGGTAAAGAGACTTGTCTGGGACTGCACAGCTAGTGAGTGACAAAACTGGATTCAAATACAAAGGAGCCTGATTCCAAATCCCCATCCACTCTCTCATATGCCTATTGCTTCCCATGGTCTCCCAAGCTCAGATGTTTTCTTCAAAAAGGCCCAACAGATGTACCCAGATCAGTAACAAACACATAAAGGAGATTTCTGCATTCACAGCTGTGCTCTCCGGGCAGTCTAATCAGTTTCAGGAAGAGGTCACTTGACCCATTCCCAGCGGTATCTCCATTCCCCAGGCATGCAGGCCAAGAAAAAGTGTAGGAGTAGGAATTTTGGGTCATCCCAGTTAGAAAATACTCCCAAGGATTAATAAATTCTTGTATCATACTTTTAGAGCAGAGACATCAGATTAGCGGGTCACGGGATCAGGCAAACTAATAATTTGCTGTAAATGAGAATAGAATTCAGGTGGAAAGCTGAATACACTCACATCACTGAGCAGCAGGAAACCAATCTCCATAATATTTTCTAGCAAAATATTCTCGACAATCCACTGGCTATATTACTCAAACGTTTCCCAGGTAGTACAGACTGACAAAGGCCAAGAGCTCACTCCTCTCAGTTGGTCAGCCCCTGACTGGCTCAAGAAAGATATTTAGCATGTCAAAACTTTAGCTTCCTCATCTTGAAGATAAGGATAAAGGTCACTGTGATGACTTAAGGCATAATCCATATTATGCATTTAGCCTGGCATCTGGCACAGAATTAATTGCTCAAGAGATACTAGTTTTTATTTTTTCCAATCCATCATAACGTGTGAGCTTTGTGACAGTCTTTCCTACCAAACACTCTCAAGCTTCACTCCAGGGAAGCCTCACCATCCATGGGGGATCTTCGGGGATTCTGCAAACATTTGATTCAGCTTCCCCCACCCCCATACACTTAATCTCTTTCCTCAAACCTGTGGTTAATATTCATACTCAGATGGGTCAGATGTCACATTTCAACATAGTGGAGATGTAGCCTGGGTGACTTGATTTTAACAGGCTTAGGGCATGGTTTCTCTTGCTATCTCAAGTGCCCATATTTCAAGTTCTTGTAAATGTGTCACTGATTTGGAATGTTGTAGCTCTGCACTGGTTTCTTCTTGAATTCAAGTCTGTGCATGTTTGTATAAAAGGATACAAGCAACTTCACTAAGCAGTTCAAAAGCAGGACCAAAATAAAAAAAAAAATTAAAAAGTAGGAGTGGGCAAAATATATGACATGTTACATGTTATTGTGGGTTTTGTATGCCGAGTCTGACTTTTATATTTTCCATGAGAATCACGAGCAATCGTAGGTAGTTTAGTTTGACATGCTAAATAAAATAGGTAGGTAGTTTAGTTTGACATGCTAAATATTTTCCAATTTATATCTTTAAAATCCAATTTACATCTATAAAAATATTTTCCAATTTACATCTTTTAAACTCCTGTATCAATTTAATGGGAGTATCCTGAGGTTATTTAATGTACATTAAATTACAGTAAAACTATTAATATTCACAACTACTTAATTTCCTCAATACATAATTTAGAAATAAATTAGAAGAGGATTGTGGTAAAAACTGTAATGTCATTCATAACACCTAAATTCATATTTTCATGTTGATGAAAATAGCCCTACTTTCCCTATTGTTGCCTTTTCAATTCACAACTTTTATAAAATGTGGACTTGTGACATAAATTTGTTGTAACAATACTACATTTACTTATTTTGTATCTTAGAGTTCCATTTAAGATTTTGTTTGAGAAGAGTTAAGCTGCTAAAAGTTCGGAAAAACTTGGAAGATAAACTCCTTTAGTCTGGGTACTATATATATTTTAGATTTCTGAGTTAATCGAACTTCTACAATATTTGCTTTTGTTCATTCTGGTATCTTCATCTGTGCCAGGGATTTCTTTGGTGATTAATTGTAATTACAACTCAATCCAAGTCCAATTTTAGAAAAAGTAATTTGTTAAATATTAAATTTAATGTCTTTTTGGTTCCTTTTGTAAAGAGCAAAGCTAGTTAGTTGAGCCCCTACAGTTGAGTCAAAATGGCATAATATTTATCTGGAGCTTTCTCCTGTGCAATTACCTCTGCGGTATCATGAGCCTCTGTATGGTCAGGACTTCTCTCCCAATTATATACTCTGACTAACCTCCAGTCTCTGTCTCTGGTGTTTGTCCATAAATTGTGCAAACATCCTGTGGTCAACAGCAATGAAATGTGATATGGAATCATCTGCAAACTTCATTAGTATAATGAGTGTAACACTGTGGTCTCACAGAATGCCCTGTTGGGGACTTACTCTGTGAGAAGGCTTTTGAGGCTGACTTCTAAAGAAGTCATTTTGGTATGCTAACAACCAGACATTCGTGGATGGGGCTTAACACGGGTCAAACTTGGACCAGATTCTTTCCTCCGTGAACACTGTTACAGCGAGAATCTAGTCTTGTACGAAACCACACCACGTACTTACTCTGCTAAATGAATCACTGAATGACAGACTGACTTACCTAATTCCCTGGTTTTGTTTTCTTCTTTTGGATTTTAGAGTGTGTCCAAGTTTACTGACTATGAATTGAAGGCCTACGCCAGAGCAGGGTCAGTGGCTGATGAAGTCATTTCATCTATGCGAACGGTGGCTGCTTTTGGTGGTGAAAAAAAAGAGGTTGAAAGGTTGGTTTATTGAAACATCCACCACCTTCCTGAATTTTGTCGTTTGACCTACTACCCCGAATCTTCCCTATTTTGTACAAAGTGGCAGATTTACCTTGGTCTGTTTACTGTGAGAGAGATTTTATTCAAGAGGTAGCTGAGGGTAATTAGTTGGGCAAAGCACTACAAGGACCCCCAAGCCTTTAGCTGTGTGTTTTTGAAAATTTTGTAGTTGGAGATTTTTAGAACGCCATTTTAGGTTCGGTATTTATTTCAACTCTGGTGGTGTGTATGTATGCATATGTATGCATATTATACCTCATGGCCTGTAACACTGTTTGCTGTGAGATACCTAAATGCAGTTCAACACATTTTTTATTCAGTGTCTTTTATTCAGCTACTGTACTACATGCTCTTTTTAAAGTCTGATGAAATTTCCATTTATTCAAACAAAATTTAGCGTTGGTATATTACAGACCATCATTCCAGAAGATTAATTCTTAATGAAAATAAAAAACCTAAATAACCCAAACAACACAGTTGTTGAGAATTTGATTTTGTTAAATCTTCCTCTTATCTAGTATTTTTTAAGTGCCAGTGCCAGGTACTGATTTCATAAAATAGCCACCAATTTAATTCAACTCTTATTTCATGAGTTTGATGTCTAGTATGACGATGTCAGTCTCAATTGTTACCAAATAAAAAAAGAGAATAGAATTTACAATCTCTATTCTCTTTTCCTTTTTTTTTTTGTTTGTTTTGCTTCTTTTGGTTTATAGAGTGAAGCTACCTAGTTTCTCACAAAAAATTTCAGTAGGATACTTCCTCCACCATAAAAGATACTCATTATTGTTATTAATAGCAGCTTTGTAAATGTTTTGAAAATGGAACAAACATAGGATAGACCTTCACTTTGTCCTGCAAAATATTAAAAGTTCTCCATGAATTTATTTTTTGAGACTAAGGAAGGCAGTTACAGAATGTCTGAGCTTCAAGACAATGCCAGTTATTAATGGCTAGATCATAGAGTCACTGCAGTCTAGTGCTTAGATTGAATTTCTACATAGTTATCCATGTCCCATGGCTGTGAACCTGACCGGTCATGTTACAACATAGCATTCTTGGTCACGGGGCAGATGGATGAGTGCACGGAGATGAGTTGCACTGGTTCTGAACCTGGGGGAAAACAGTTGCATCATTTTCTGATAGAAAGCATGCCATGTGACTTGGTAAAAACAATTCAAGCACAAATAGTACTGGATCCCTCATGTCCAAACATTTGTGTTGAAAATTCTTTTCTCTTGGGGTAAAGTTCCCACTTTTCTCACACTGTTCTTATCCAAGAAGTAATCAGCCATGAGGTTTGGTTAGGCATTGTTCCTTCAACACATTTCATTGCCAGGTTGAAATAAGCTAAATAACTACACGGAAGTTTGTCATTTTCTTTCCCAAAAGCTGCTGTGTGTCTGGGGTGATTTTTATGACCATTGAGTAAAAGCACCGCATTGTGGCTGATTTAAACATTCTAACTTGAGTTGCTGCTGCTGCTGATGTAGATACAAATGCTTTCTCTTCACAGGTACGAGAAAAATCTTGTGTTTGCCCAGCGTTGGGGAATTAGAAAAGGGATTGTGTTGGGATTCTTTACTGGATTCATGTGGTGTCTCATCTTCCTCTGTTATGCACTGGCCTTCTGGTACGGCTCCAAACTTGTCCTAGAGGATGGAGAATATACGCCAGGAACCCTCGTCCAGGTACTTTGACCTTAATGACCTAGACATAACATTTCCTGCTGGAATCTCGGAAAAGCCTACAGTGAAGGCATTTTGTTTATTCCTTTATTGTCTGAGGGAGGAGAGCAGCAATGATTTGATGGAGTCCATCTGCAGAAACAAGCAATACTTACACATTTTATAGTAAAGGAACACTGAGCATTTGAGTTGATGAGACCAGTGATTTAATGATTTCCGCTTAACTGAAAATTCTGTAGCTGTAAAACAATGATTTTCTGACTGAGTCCAAAAGATAATATGCCATGAAAATGGGAAGTCAGGGATCTCTCAGCTAAAAATTAATAGCTCATGTATTTAAGTTTAATAATAGTACAAGATATGTGCTAATGGACATATTTGTGAAACACGATGAGTTACTAAAATACCAAGCCAATGATATCTTCAACTGAACAGGTAATACGACCCTATTTTATTGTTCACTTGTGCTAGAGCCATGTTATCACGAATGCCTTGGTTGCTTTAATTTTCAGTATTTTTTCCGTTGTTCTTTCAAGAATTATTGAGCATCTACTATATGCCAGCACAGAGGATTCAATAGTGAGCAAAAGAAATGTGATCTTTTCCTGGTGTGATTTATAGATCAGTGGGGAAGAGAGGCAATAATTAAACAACCACATCAATGCCTAATGACAATGCTATAGAAGACAAGGATGTTAGCAGGGTAACCGAGTGTGGCTAGGATCAGAGAAATCTCTTCCTCCTGCTCACAAACCCAACGTCTTTCCTCCTTAGCTTACAGCTCCTCTCATTACAGCTGGACTCTTGTCATTGTTCTAATTCTCAGCTGAACAGCACCTTCCCAGTAAGGCCTCCCATGCTCACCCAATCTTTTATTCTGTTGTATGGCTTGCTGAACTTTTCCTTCAGAATCCTTGAATGGAATTGAACATTTGGGTTTGTTTATATTTGTGCCCACCCCTTCCTGCCCCCACACAGGAGGTCAGGGAGATAAAACATGAAATACATGTTTCATTTGGCCTATTAATTATTTAATTAAATATATTAATCTTTTTTAAGATTTTATTTATTTATTTATTTGAGAGGAGAGATGGAGCATGCACGCACAAGGGGTGGGAGGGGCAGAGGGAGAGGGAGAGAGAGAGAGAGAGAATCTCAAGCAGACTCTGCACTGAGGTCAGAGCCTGATGCAGGGCTCGATCTCATAGCCCTGAGATCATGACCAGAGCTGAAATCAGGAGTCGGATGCTTAACCGACTGAGCCACCCAGGTGCCCCATAATTAAGTATATTAATTTTTAAAGCATGGAGATGTGAAGCGGTTTCATATATGATTCTTAAATAAAATATTTTGGCTCAAGATTCTAGGTGGGGGGGAGCCTGGGTGGCTCGATCGTTAAGCGTCTGCCTTCGGCTCAGGTCATGATCCCAGGGTCTTGGGATCGAGCCCCGCATCGGGCTCCCTGCTCAGCGGGAAGCCTGCTTCTCCCTCTCCCACTCCCCCTGCTTGTGTTCCCTCTCTAGCTCTCTCTCTCTCTATCAAATAAATAAAATCTAAAAAAACAAAAAAAATTCTAGATGAGATAGGTGCCAATTTAAACAATGAAAAATGCCAAAATCTTATCTACTAGAAATTTGCTAGCTGATAGCTTATAATTTGAGATCTACTGCTTTAATATAAATACATTTCTAGGGAAAGTTGAATGGAATTTTATTTATTTGTTTAAATTTATTAAACAAATAAATTTATTTATTTACAAATGATTATCAGTGGTGAGGTCAAACCATAGTCAATCTGCGCTACTGACTTTATCTCATTAACAGCTTGATGATACACTAAGAACAACTTTTTAAAATTCAGTTCTTCTTTGCAAGATGAACAACTGGCATCACTTGAACTTTGTTTTAAAAAATTAAATATGATACGACATGTTAAAATGTCTTTTGAACCTTAAATGGATAGTATAGATGGAAAATGTTGCTGTTATTATAATTTAAGCACTTTCTTAACAACTCTAATATAGCTTTGCACATTTGAAAATCCAGTGAAAGTATTGCAGGTCAGAAACCTGACTACAGAGTCCCTCATCTTTGTTGGTCTAATGACTCTTAAGAACTTTAAACATTTACCAGTTGACTGCAGTCCTAGATCCTTGTATCTGCTCGTTCTGCAGAAAAACATGTGCTGAGAAAAGACATTCTTCCTTTCATTCCATGACTGCAAGGAGAGGACAGAGGTGTGCCCAAATAACAGTTCAGAGGGAAGAATGAATTGGTAAATTGAAAATTAAATAATACACAATTCTAGTTGGAAACACTGAATTTAAAAACGCCTTGGTTACTCTCTCTAGCAGGAATCCAATGTTATGGTTCTAAGATAAACTGAGGCATACTAAAATTTTTAGGAGATTCTTTAAACAAAAATAATTCCAATCAGGCAGCACCAAGCCAGAAGTGATGAGAAGCCACTCTCTACCTACAGGATCCGGAGCGGAGGTGGGGGGGGGTGGGGAGAGGGGGGAAACTTTTATAGAGAAGAGGCAGAAGCAAAGCAAAACAATGATTTGATTGGCTCTGGCTTAAGCAGTTGCCTTGCCTGGGGAAGCTTAATTGACCATTTGTGATTGGTTGCCCTTAGGTTTTTGATGTCTTAACCTTGAGGCATTTGCGCTTAGGTTTTGGTTTGCTCATGCAGGCTACTAAGGCATTAAATCAACCTCAGCCTAATGGCCTCCTTGTTTAACGAATTTGACACTCCTCAGCTTCAAGTGTCCACTCTTGTCTATACCTTCTGTAAATAATTGGGCTGAGAGAGTACTTATTACGTGCAGATGTGACAGACTATGTGTCTCTCACATTTTAATCATCGATTATTAACCTTACCTCTTACTCCAACACCTTCCTAAAAGCCTCTGCTTACACCTTAAGAAAGATCCCTTTGGAAAAATGAGAGACCTCCATTAACAGTATAATCATTGATTGTTCTTTCTCTCTCTTCTTCTCTCCCTTCCTCCATCCCTCCATCTCTCTCTTTCTCTCAGTCATGTGTGCAGGCACATTTTTGGCCATACTTCTGAGTAGCAAACTATGAAGTCTGAGTACACATGGGCTGAGTTGAGTGTTATCAATCCACGAAGTAATTAACAATTAGGTTAATCGAATATATTTTTTGATGAATAAAATCGTTATTGGCTACATGGTAATTGAGCATACATGGTAAGTTGTTCACATAAATGACTGTGATTGGTATCACCTGTACACAGACAAAAAACAAACCCTGTGATCTATTAGGAGAGAAGATGAAAGGGAATTGAAGAGTGCAGAAGGCTGCTCTTTTGTGCTTCCCAGGTTTCAGGACTCAATAATAAAAAATAACAGCAGGAATAGAGAGTAACATTATTCAGTGTGTATAAGGTATCAAGCACTAAGTGACATATTTCATACAAATACCACATGTCATATCAAAACTTCATTCTGTATTGATGTCATTGTACTACCACTTAAAAATGAAATGGAGCCATAAGGTTGAAAAATATGTGTTGAGGGGCATGGAGGGGGATATAAGCTCACATGCCTGTGCCTCCAGAGGCCTGACTCATTAACCACTGTTTTCCTGCCTCTGGATCTGGCTTCCAGGGAGACACCTTTTCCTCAGCACAGCACACCCATAGATAGATTGTTCCCCGGTGGTTTCCTTGGCCTTTCCCACTCCCACACTTTTGTCCACGGGGCTAGAGTAAAATGTTTGGGGTGGGAAATGATGGTCGGTTGGGATGGGTGCTAGCCATTGTGATGATACTAGGTATATGCCTCTGTCCTGTCCCACCCACTCTTTCCCTAAGTACCCCGAGGGAGGCATTTGCAAAGCCAGGCTGAGCAGGGTTTGACTGCAAACCTCAGCTTAGGCCCCTAGTGATTCAACCTAGAACCTAGAGCAGGAGTCAGCAAACTATGACCCACCAGCCAAATCCAACCTGATGCCTGTTTTTGTAAATAAAGTTTTATTGGAACACGGCCACAATTATCTGTTCACTATTGTCTATGGCTGCTTTTGCAGTACATGGCAGAGTTGTGTAATTGCTTCGGAGCCCATTTGGCCTTAAAAAGCCTAAAACACATACTATCTGGTGTGTTATAGAAAATGTTTGCTGACCCCTGATCTAGGACATGTGGAGGGCTTCCTTTGTTCAGTTGGAAAGAAATCTGATAAATGTGGTCCTAACCCAATTTAGAGATGTACTGTTTTGTCTATTCACCATACCACTTCCTAAGTGTGGAATCTTGCTTCTTTCAACATCACTATTATTTACGTGGCTAACACTGGATTCATCACCTTCAAACTAATTATTTCATTTAATGCTCGTGAAAGTCCCATGAGGTGTATGCTTTCAGTACCTCTGTGTTACAGATAAAGAAATTGGGGCTTGAAAGATGAAGTAATCTGCCCATGGGAGGAACTACCTTCTGTAATTCAGGGAAAGGAACAAGAAAGATGAAAAGGGAATGTTTGTCCCGCACATGGAGAGGGGAATTCAGGGAGAAGGCAAGAGGGCACTGGTGCACATCATCATGATATGTGAAATGGAGGTTACTGAAGATGAAGGGAGGTAGCTGGGAGGCTCTGAGGAGTCTCATGGTCCAGACAGAAGATTGAAAGAAAGCAGGGAAACCATTACAGACTGGGTTCATTTGACTGCCTGAAGACTACATTCAGGCAGCAGCCGATCTTCAGCTCAGCAGGTAACTCTGGTCCCTGAAGGATGGTGGCCAATGAAACATCCCCCATGAGCATCATGTGACCAGCACCTGTTTGGTCAAAAGGACTCTTGTGCTCCTCCTAGAGGCATGTGACAAATTGCCTCATTGCTTCTTCCTTTATAAACGGCACTGATAAACACAGAGCGCTATTTGGTAGGAATATCTGCTCATGATCAAGTCGCCTTCCCCTAACTTAATGAGATGACTGGGTTGGTGAGTTAAAGGCCAGCTTCCTCATCATTGCCCAGGAACCTCGCCATACCAACTGCATGCCACCAGCAGCAGATGGGTCTGTTTGTGAAACAGAATGTCAGTCAAGAGCCTGGGTTTCAAATACTGCTCTACCACTTAATACATGTTGTAATGTAGGGTAAGTTAAGGAATGTCCATACACCTTGGTTTTCTCTTCTGTTGTATGGATTAAGTGAAGTAATACAGGTAAAGCACTTAGAAATATACATTAGTAAAAGTAGTAGTAGTAGTAGTAGTAATAGCAGTAGTTATCCTAGGAATAGTCTACTAGTAGCAACAATATGGTAGCAAACCGATATTGCTTGTACCTATCTCTACAACAATCAAGCTGATCACTGTCTTCATTGCTTCAGTTACCCTTTAACCAGAAGACTATATAAGCCTGTTTATATTACAAACTGAATTATCATATCACTATTCTAACTCACTTTGTGTCTATATGTTGCCTTGCTTAGACCTCATACTCATTTCAAAATATGTTCTTCTTTGTAGGATAGTGTTCTACACTCTTGTAATGTAGTGTTCTACACATAGATGTTCATTTAAATATAATGTAGTCTTTTAAACCATAACAATAGAAAAATTGGAGATACTTTGCAGAACAAAAACTATTCCAGGTGTTTCTAAAGAGCTATTTAGCTTTCAAACTCCCATGGAAGAATATTTCTGAGAAATATCTGAGCTCACATGGATAGCCCAAATGATGGCACTATTTACAAATTGACAAAAACACGCGAAAACTATGTTTATCTCTTTTCATTTCAGATTTTCCTCAGTATTCTATTAGGAGCTTTAAATCTTGGCAATGCATCTTCTTGTCTGGAAGCCTTTGCAACTGGGCGTGCAGCGGCCACCAGCATTTTTCAGACAATAGACCAGGTATGTGAAAGCCAAAGTAAAGGCCATGAACAGGTTGGGGGTGGGGAGAAAAATGAAGTTCTGAGGAATTTACCCTCAATGTTAAGAAAAATGAGGGGCTATCACAATGCCCTAATGTCATCAGCCAGACCCCATAGTGAGTTGGGACCGCAAGAGTGAACTAGAATAAGACCCTTGCTTTCCTATCATACTGGAAAACAGGCAATAAAGAAGTAAGCACGTTTATGGATCTAGAGGGTATTATGCTGAATGAAATAAGTCAGACAGAAAAAGACAAATACCATACGATCTCGCTTATATGGAGAATCCAAAAAGCAAAGCAAATGGACAAACAAAAAAACAGAAATAGACTCATAAATACAAGACAACAAACTGGTGGTTTCCAGAGAGGAGGGGGCTAGGGGGTTGGGGTGAAGGGGATAAACTGCCAGTTGTAAAATAAATAAGTCACTGGGATGAAAAGTATAGCATAGAGAACGTAGCCAGTGATATCGTAATAACTTTGTATGACAGAAGGTAACTACACGTATCTTGGTGAGCATTTGGTAATGTAATTGTCGAATCACTATGTTGTACACCTGAAACCAAAATTACTTCAGTGAAAAATAAAAGTTGAAAAAAGAAGTAAGTACATTCAAAGCTAGGATAATATCAGTGCAATAAAGGAAATAAAATAGCGTGGTAACGGTTGGGGTGAGGGGAGGAGTCTTCAAGTGAGGAGAACATCATCTCTGAGGAGGTAGTATTTGCGCTGAGAACAGCAGGGAGAGTCAGCCATGCAAAGTGAGGTTTAGGGGAGGAGCGGTGCATGGGAAGTGAGAGCAGGGAGGCTAGTCCTGGAAGATAGTGCTTCTGGTTGGAAAAGAATTGGTGAATGCAAGGACCTAAAACAAGGTCAGTGTGTCTGAGCAGAGTGAGCAAGAGTACAGAGGCTGGAGAGAGAGGAAGGGGCCAGATAATGCAAGTCTTTAAGGCCAAGTTCATAGGTTTAGATTATCTTTTAACTGTGACAGAAAGCTTCTACAAGCTTGTAAAGGATTCTGGTAGCCTAGCTAGGATTTAATCTACTGAAGTGCATTGAAGGTCCAGCTAGAAAGTCAAAATCTGAGAATGGAAGGAGGAAGAGAGCAAGATGTTGTTCTTCCTCTCTGGAAGCCATGGAAAGCCAGAAGTGTTTCTTTGGTCCCCCAAATCTTCAGTATTTATGAAGCATAAAACCTGCGTGAGGAGACTGTTCATCACTTTATCTGTTCTATATCTGGGGCTTCATATATTGCAGTATAAACAGATTGTTGAAAACCACATAGACACATTGAGTTATCCAAACTCTACCTCATTCTTAGGGTTATTATATGCTTAGATAAGATGATGAGTCTAAAAGGACTTTGAAGCTATTACAAAAAACTAAGGCCTTTAAAAATTACTTTATTATCTTTACGAGAGACCCGAGAGGAAGAAAGTAGATTACACTATTGCCCCAGATAGAGATATGATGATGAATTTATCTCACAAGTGTAGAAGGGAGAAGAAGCTGACCCTGGAGTGTTCTGGTGGCAGGAGATGGCCCTCATTCTAGTCTGATTAACTAGAATGGTTAAATTCTAGATTAGGCTCATTACTAACAACAACAGAGGTGAAATTCAGCATAACAACTGAAAGTTGTTATGTATTTGAGGATACCACTTAAGGACATTCAGTTAGTTTTAATTATCATCTACGATAGGTATTCAGATGTAGAGTACTATTGGACCCCAGCTTGGCTGACCAGTTGTGTGGCTTTAGGAAAGATACTTAACTTCTGTTGAGAGCTCTCTACTTCCTCAGTGAACAATTGAGCATATCACCTGTCTAGTTAGGTTATAGTGACAATTACATAAATGAAAAAAGACAATTGTAAATTGTCTTCCATGGTATCCCAATAATATAATAATACATAATAATAATATATTATATACTAATGTAATTATAGATCAATACTACATATTATATTACAATATTGCTATATATTGTTACTATATTGTCATACAATAATATATGTCATAGCAATATATCAACAAATAGTAATAATAATTAAATTAATTCTATTTAATTAATGTGAAGTTATATATCAATTATATACTGACATTTATTTCATATTCATTATAATTAATTATGTATTAATTCTTTGTGTATGTTGGTTATCTATTAATATATTATGTGTGTAATATGATATGCTAATAGTATTCATATTTAGTAATATATCTCATATTAATATCTCAGTATATGTTAGTATTATTACTATTATTAATAAATATTTAATGTGGAAGCAACTTTGATGCAGTGTTTTACCTGGTGGTTGTTCTGTTTTACGAGTAAATTCAAACCAGGATGGACAATAGATGCATATGTATTTGTTGTAGCTATATTCCTTTTATATTCTACTCCAGAAATCCAACATTGACTGCATGTCAGAGGAGGGTTACAAGTTGGATCGAATTAAGGGTGAAATTGAATTTCATAATGTGACCTTCCACTATCCTTCCAGACCAGAGGTGAAGGTAAGTGTTCATCTTTTCTCTGGGAATGACGGCATTTTTCTTCTTTGATGATTCATATCCAGGGCCACAAGTTACTTGTTTTTCTGAACCACGACAGTTTGCAGGAAGAAGGAACAGAAGCACGTTTCTCTACAAGTGCCCTTAGGCATCATGTCATTTCTTAGGCAACAAGTCACATTCCTTTGTGGTAACACCAATGTGCAAATCCCTGAGGAGGACACAGTCTGGCAACCCATTCAGGTTAGGTCAAGTTACGTGCGATCCTCTGTTGAAATGAGTGGCAGGGCCTGTCATTGTAAGCATAAGCTGAATAAACTGCAAGGCAATCAGAACAATCCAGAAGTACAGATGCAGAAGGCGAAACCCTGAGTGGGTAGGGTACTTCTGGCAAAGAAAAGCTGCTGTATTTGTAGTTTTCCCACTTCCTATCTGTAAGTTCACAAGGGTCACTAGATTAGTCTTTGGAAGAAAGGTAATCTTGTGGCCTTGTGCTCACGTGTCTTGGGCTAGGTGATTGCCCGGGACACAGGAGGAAGAACATTCAGTTTTCCTGTACCTACAGAGCAAGCATTTTTAAAGGCAATTTAATCTATAGGAAAATTAGGATCTGCTCTCCTTGAGTAGGTTGACTTCGAAATGAGATTTATTCCTAATTTTTTAACAGAATACCTCTAGCCGGGGCGCCTGGGTGGCTCAGTTGTTAAGTGTCTGCCTTTGGCTCAGGTCATGATCCCAGGGTCCTGGGATCGAGCCCCACATCAGGCTCCCTGCTCAGCGGGAAGCCTGCTTCTCCCTCTCCCACTCCCCCTGCTTGTGTTCCCTCTCTCACTGTGTCTCTCTCTCTGTCAAATAAATAAGTAAAATCTTAAAAAAAAAAAAAAAGAATACCTCTAGCCACCCTTAATATTTCTGTTATGGAAACTAAATCCCTTGCAACTTAATTCTGATACTACATACCTAAAACATAGGTAAACAAATACATACACATTAGATATATAAATAAATAAATAAATAAATAAATAAATAAATAAATAAATAAATAAAAAACACAGGTACCTATATATTCTGATTAAATTGCTGAAGTGTATTTTCAATTACTGTTACATATCACATATGTATGGAAACATTAAATGTCGCAACATATGTCAAAGTACCTTGTGAAAGATAAACCACAAGGTAGTACTCAGTAAAGATTTTTTAATGGATGGCTAAAAACTTGCTTTAGAAAATCTGTTCAGAACCAGCTCATAATAGCTGTTTCGTGAATACCAGTTGAATTAAAACACATTTACTTCATTTCTGTTTTATCCTCTATTCCCAACACCAGTGGTTTGTTTTAATAAAATCTTCTTACTTACACCTATATGTACTCAGCCCTGCTGGGTGCCCCACCGTCCTGGGCTATAATGAGAAAAAGCATACACTGTGCTTGCCCGCCCTGGGGGAGATTACAGTAAGTGAAAGTATATTTGCAAGCCTAACTCTCTAGTGTGAAGTGCGAGATGTGAGATTTTGTCACACAGAGGACCCCTAACCACCTTTACATAATAAGTATAAAAATCACCACTGAATTGGTGAAAATATCCAACAGATGCTTCTGAATTAGATTCCTCTTCTTCCCTTTCTAGACCTACCAGCATTCAGTCTCTACCTTTAACAGTGCTTTAAACTTAATAAACACATCACAAACATGTGTTAAGGAAAGTTTTTCAGATAATATGTTCACACACAATACAAGTGTATGACAGCTTAAAATTTGTAAGTTAATTTATTGTTAATCCATGGTCAGTAAATTAGTATTGTATTAACAATGAATCATGGAACACTTCATCTAAAATTGATGATGTAATGTATGGGGATTAACATAAGAATAAAAAAAAATTAAAAAAAATTAGTATTGTATTTCTAACTTAATGGCTTTCTTTCCTTAACAGTCTCCTTGAGGCATCCTAGTATATCAGAAGTGTTTTATTTTTTCAAAAGATTTTATTTATTTATTTGTCAGAGAGAGAGAGAGCGAACACAAGCAGGGGGTGCAGCAGGCAGAGGGAGAAGTGGGCTCCCTGATAAGGGGCTGGGTCCCAGGACCTTGGGATCATGACCTGAGCCGAAGGCAGACAATCAATTGAGCCACCCAGGCATCCCTATCAGAAGTGTTTTAAATGTGGATTCTGGAGCATGATTTTACAAGTTGGCGTGGTTTATTTACTTCAACAGTGTTACCCCACATCATTTTCTTTCTTGGGTGCCACTATCAATTTATTAATGAGTAATGTGCTAAATGCTAAAACCTCATCATAGGCACTGTTTGCTGATTTTCTGGTTATTGACGGATATTGATAGTTACTGCTTTGAGGGCATAAGTAAACACGTACAGAGTATCCTCACAAAGCATCCTAACTTACAAGTCTAATTGCTGACAATCTGAACATTGTTCTTTTCTTTTCTCTACAGATTTTAAATAACCTCAGCATGGTTGTTAAATCAGGGGAAATGACAGCTGTGGTAGGATCCAGTGGATCCGGGAAAAGCACAGCCCTGCAGCTTATTCAGCGTTTCTATGACCCCAGTGAAGGCATGGTGGGTGTCTTCCAGAAGCCTCTCAATACATGGGGATGGGAGAGTGCAAATGGGGATATACTGGTCAAGCACAAAGGCCTAGTATACACAGAGACCGTCCTGACGTACACACAGTTGACTTACTGAGTTTTTGACTGAATTGACTGGACTGATTCCCTGCACGGTGGTCGTGTTCGTTGAACGACCAGCCCGTTCGCTCAGTGATGTGCACACACATTCAAAATGGTATTTCTGCCTTGTCAGTGAATTCGCATTTCCATTTCCTTCTTTGTATTGTAACAAAATCATTATTGTCTCTTCAAGTTTTCCAAACGCTAAGTATAGGAAAGGTTGCATGGCTAGAACGAACAGATTGATGACTGCTTTGAGAATTTAGGTTTTAAAGATAAATCATATAATTTCACCAACTACTTCGTCTCTTTTTTCCTTGTGTGTTTATTTGCCTATAAACATAGACTGAAACTAAGAAAATAAATATCCATCATTGCCATTTGTTTATCACATATGTCAAGTACTTTATGAAGATGATTACTTATTTTCAAAAATGAGCCCCAAGGTATATATGCTCATTTTATGAAAAGGAAGCAGAGTCAGAGAGGTTGAGATTTGCTCCCGATTTGAACCCAGGGCCCTGAGATGTCAAAGGCTCTGCTCTTTCTACGCTCTCAAAGTCATTCTTGTCAACATCTCCTTGATGCTTTGAGATAGAATCATCTGAGTATATATCAAGTGACTTCAATGCAAGGTGTTCCCTGTCATGGGAGCACTGTTACACTGACATGACAAACGTAATGGAATGTTTCTTTGTTATGGACAGTTCATCCTACAGGTATTCTTTGCCACATACCAGCATAACTATATTCTGACTACATAGAAATCATGGTCTCTTGATGTAAGATTTTTACTTTTTTTTGCTAATAGTGATTTTTGCTTACCCCACTTACATTTTCAATTACTTTTGAACAGCAAAGTTCTATTTGATGAATCTGGCCAGAAAGTAAGAGTTACTTTAAGCACACCTACAAGATAGGGACCGTTTCTTCTTTTCTTTGTAGCTTTGGAGTCCATTTTAGGTCACAAGTCAAACGATAATAAAAATATATAAAGTATGGTGAATAACTGACTTGACTCTATTGAAGAATTAGATTTTTTTTTTCTATTCCTGGGCCAATCATATTACATTAAATGACCTTTACATCATTTGTGTTTTTACAACGAATTGTTCTACAGCTAGACTTGATTTCAACTATATATCATCACTCCTATATAAACAACCTCATTATGGGAGGAATTATTTCTGTTATAATCCTGTGGGTTTCTATTATTTCTCCCCATAGGTCAAGTAGAACATAACATTTTGATTCAGAACCCTGAAGGGTTCCAAGAGATGTGACGTTGTGCTTATGGTCTCTAGGTGACTTTAGATGGCCATGACCTTCGCTCTCTTAACATTCAGTGGCTTAGAGCTCAGATTGGGATGGTGGAGCAAGAGCCCGTTCTGTTCTCTACCACCATTGCAGAGAACATTCGTTATGGCAGAGAGGACGCAACGATGGAAGATATAGTTCAAGCTGCCAAGGCAGCCAATGCCTACAGTTTCATCATGGACCTGCCACAGGTACCCCTAGCCTCTCATCCCGGGGTGGGAGGGGGAGCAGAACTCAGAAAGTTATAAAAGGAAAAAGAAAAAGTTACACGATACTATACATTTCTTTCCATTTGAATCCCAGATCATTAAATTCTTAATGCCATGCTAGGTTTCATTCCTGGAAATGTACCACGAGTGTTCCCCTTTGCCTGAAAGCATATTGTTGTTGATATATTAAAAATCTACAAACAGGGGAACTTTCTTTTAAAAGCTCCCCTTGACAGAGGTACAATCTTCTTACTCCATCTGTTGAGAATTTGCCTAAGCAATTGATAAATTTGTTATGTGGCAATGACTTACACAATGTTCATTGATGCCTACCAATGTCATTGTTCTTTCATTTTCTTGGGCTTAGGCAGCTAATTCTGTGGCCTCAGTACTGTATCTCGCATATTCAAAAATTCTTCATTTATCTTCATTTTAAACAACAATGACAACAAAAACCAACTCCATATTATTACACTTATACGTATTTTGTGGCTGCTAAGTCAAATGGTCTGCTAAGTCAGAGAAGAGCTGTTATTACCAGTTAACATATGTATAGTGCTTACTACCTACCAGACACTGTTCTAAGCACTTTACATCTCATTTAACTCTCACGACCATCCTGTTGGCAGCTACTATTATTATTTCCATCTGTGAAGAGAGAACTAAGGTTCCAAGAGGTCAGATAACTTGCTCAAGGCAGGAGAGTCAAGATTCACACTCAGGTGGTCTGGCTCCAGAGTCTGTGCTCTAGATCATTTCCTATTCAGCCTTCTAGATTACCTGTGTGAATAGGATTGCAGCTGTGAGTATGACATAGTCCAGTGGTAAAGAGTATAAAGCTTTGGAATCAGACTGCGTCCATGAAAATCCCAGCTTCTCCATTTGCAAGCTCTATAAACTTGAGCAAGTTACTTTAGCCCCTTACACCCCAGCATTTCCTTACCCACTGATTGAGGAGAACAGCAGTACCTGCCTCATGGGGCATCTGGGAGGACTAATGAGGTGATATGTGTAAAGAACTCAACTTCATGCTTTATACATGGTAAATGCTCAACTCATGTTGGCTAATAATAAACAAGGCAAGAGCCTGACATCATTGTGAGATTCCAATATAATGCTAAACATGAAAGATACTCAGTAACTTTTTGCTGTCAATGGTAATGATTGTACAGCTAGCTTGATCTTTCATTTGTAATATAGATACAGATTTAATATTGTGCTTTTCTGTGTTGCTTAGATAGAGAAAAGAGGGAAGAATTTGATAGGTGCTTTAACCCTTTAAAATGGGTTTTCAGGACCCTGATCAACTTTTACTTTGGTGGAAACTTTTTTTTTTAAGTAGGCTCCACACCCAGTGTGGTGCCCAACACAGAGCTTGAACTCAGGACTCTGAGATCAAGACCTGAGCTGAGATCAAGAGTCGGATGCTTAACCAACTGAGCCACCCAGGTGCCCCTACTTTCGTGAAAACATTTTATTTGAAGTTGAGCTAGAGAGAAACGTTTATACAGCCCAGTGAACCTGGGAATGAAAGAATAAATTAGTTTCTTTTTTTTCTTTCAAAGATTTTATTTGTTTATTTGGCAGAGAGAGAGAGAGAACACAAGCAGGGGGAGTGGCAGAGGGAGAGGGAGAAGCAGGCTCCCAGCTGAGCAGGGAGCTCGATGTGGGGCTCCATCCCAGGACCCTGGGATTCTGACCTGAGCCAAAGGCAGATGCTTAACTGACTGAGCCACTCAAGCGCCCCAAGAATAAATCAGTTTCTTTATCTTACACACAAATATTGATCAGACAGTAACCTGTTTCAGGAAAGGGTATTTCTTTCAGTGAAAGTTGGGCCTGTGAAAATTCATGCTTGAGAAGGGAGCTAGAAAGGATCTTGTAATGATCACTGCCAGGAGCCATCAAATTGTTCGTCTTCATTATCAGTGTCACCTTCTTCCTAGCAATTTGACACTCTTGTTGGAGAAGGAGGAGGCCAGATGAGTGGTGGCCAGAAACAAAGAGTAGCCATTGCCAGAGCCCTTGTCCGAAATCCCAAGATCCTGCTTTTGGACATGGCCACCTCGGCACTGGACAATGAGAGTGAAGCCACGGTACAAGAGGCACTGAGTAAGGTCTGTTGAAAGTCTGAGTTCATTTTACAAGACCATGTGGAAATGTGCTGTAGGAAAGGCAGCTCACTGAGAGAGGAGGGAGAGGGAGAATGGAAGGATGGAGAGGGGGAGGGAAAGAGAAGGACTACATGGGTCAGTGTCTCCAGTCTGACTGTTTAGAAAATACTGACTAGACTGTTCCTCACAGTTGAATAGAAGTCAGTATGGCTTGCTTCCAAAAGCTACAGATGCAAAATTTTCAATCTTATTAAATCTAACTTATAATATGTGATTTCAAGAATTTCCATTTTGCTTTTAGCTGTTGATTAATAGCAGCAACTGGACCAACGTGTGGGGTGTTCATGACCTTGATAAAGTGCGCTGGCCTTTTCTAATATCTGCAGAGCGCCTATTTGAGGATTTTCCCAAGGACCCAGGCTCTGATTACTTGTGGATTCTGAGACCATCCAAATGTCAATGTCAGCTCTGTCTTACTGTTTGGTTAACAGTGCACTGTACATTCTTACAGATCCAGCAGGGACATACGGTCATTTCGGTTGCTCATCGCCTGTCCACAGTCAGAGCTGCAGATGTCATTATTGGTTTTGAACATGGTACAGCAGTGGAAAGAGGCACCCATGAGGAACTGTTGGAACGGAAAGGAGTCTACTTCACTCTAGTGACTTTGCAGAGTCAAGGCAATCAGGCTGCTAACATAGAAGGCATAAAGGGCAAGTGTCTTTTCCATTACACTTGTACATTCTATAAAGCATTATGTTTGTTAGCTCTCATAGTTCCGTGGATTTCTATACATTTTAATAAACACCGTCTTATTTGTTCCCCCAAAAGCCCTTGGAGGCATTATATAGATGATAAGAGAAAGAACAAAATCTTAGGACGTTCAGTTACTTGATCAAATCAGAGAGCTAAAACCCAGGTTTTGTGGGGAAGATGATTTTAATGCCAACCCCCTTGTTCCCCCCTCCCCACTTTGCAAATAGGAAAGCCTTCCTAGAGTGTCCAGCACCCAGTAGGACCTCTATTCTTGCTGATTGAGTAAATTAATCAGTGACTAAACACTGTAATGCTTATTTTCACTAAAGCAAATAGCAAATAGATACATCAGGCCCTAGTGCATCCTTTTTTTTTTTTTTTAGTTTGAATTTTCAGATTTGGTAACTTATCCCAACTTACATTAACCAACCACCACTTCAAACTTTCTCTACCATACCACATCTCGATTTGTGAACTCCATTGGGTAAAACTACTGTCTATATTTAACACATGTGATTTCTTCTGAAAAGATATATATTTTTTTAATTTGGTGAATCTACCATAGAAATGACCTCTAGTGGGTTTCCCTTCAGTTTTTATGATTCATTCTATCAGATATCTATTTGTTGGAGATAACACAGGGGGTATCACACAGCTTAAAAAATTCAATCCTGCTGAGTATTTTTTTAAGTTTATTTATTTATTTATTTATTTACTTACTTACTTACGTAATCTCTATGCCCAAGGTGGGGCTGGAACTCATGACCCCATGTCCAGGAGTTGCATGCTCTTTGGACTGAGCCAGCCAGGCACCCCCTGCTGAGTATCTTGACATTTTTTTTGTTGTTGTTAGAATGTGCTGGATAAGTGTTAAGTTTTATTTGCCACAATGAAGTTAATAGAATGTTTTAGCATCAGACATAGTAATGATAGGCTAGGCAAGCATAGTAAGAAGTTTTCTTTTGATATGGTTCTCCTTATTGTTTACACTAAGGAATCGTTCATGTTGTGTTGAATAGGAGAAGATAAAACTGACCGGGCCTCACTTGACAGCAAACAGACCTTTTGCAGAGGGAGCTACCAGGCTAGTTTAAGGTAAGCTGAAGCCATGGGGCAGATTTTAAGGTTTTAAAATATTCTTAGGAGCCCTCTGCACTTATGATCCTCAGGCAATATCTCAGGTAAAACCAGGATAGCCTTGAGCATAGCCCCAGGTTTCATGTAATATGAACATGCAAATGAATCCTTGGTTGCTATATTGACATTTTCTGTTTCCAGTTCAGGGGGATTTTTTTTGTTTAACTTTGGCTTCTTATCTTATTGTGGGTAGGGTCATGATAGAGATGCTTTGTAATTAAAATGTTGTTAATTGAGCTTGAAAGGGTATTTAAAAAATCTGTTTGGTCTTGTCCCCTAGATCTAACCATGGTATAAAGCATTGTTTTACATGGAGGTGAAGTTCATGGCTTTAGGTCCATTCTTTCACTTGCTGAGCTGCAGTTGAATTACAAATATTCCTTCTTCCAGAGTGACCCATCTGAATTCAAATCATTCCTTAACTAGATGAAAAAAGAAGTGTATTTTTTTAGCATTTGAAAAGATTTTCCTTGAACACCAGCTATTTATTTTTTTTGTGGATGAATATAGGGGTATTGACTTTCAAACATATTTTTGGAATATGCTATTAACAAGACTGTAAATTTTAGTCTTTCATCCTGACTTAAGAGTTTCAGTAAAATAGTTCCTTTAATGTTAAAAGTCTGCATATTAAGAAGAATTCTGCCCAAGAGTATCTGTCTCTCTTCATGAAGATACTACTTAAGATTTTTTTTCCTAAGTTAGGAGGTTGTTCATAAACAATGGTGACAGCAGATTTCCTTACTGTTGCCTTTACCATTTCTAGGATATTTAATTCAAGGCTGTACTCTGGGCAAAGGCTCAGTTATAAGACTTGCTTTTTCAAGGTAGTATATTGCTTATTGAAAACTGGCTTAAAGAGGCTTAAAATAAAACATTTAGGTAACAACTCCAAGTAATTCAAACACAGATTTATCTTTAATATTCAAAGAATAATGTATAGAGTTGTTGAATCACTGTGTTGCACACCTGAAACTAATGTAACATTGTATATCAACTATTCTCAAAAAGAAAAAAAAGAATAGTTCACTGAGCTTATGCTTAGAGTTTTTATTTTTCCTTTTGAGAATAAGTCTATTCATAAAAATTTCAAGAAATGCTGGTTTTATTAAATTTATTGAATTTGGAAAATAATAAAGCAATAACTTCAAGTTACTCTGTAAAGTAAAAGCTAAAAAAAATTGCCAAAATTATTAGGTCATTTTTATAGATATTAGGCATTATGTTTAACCATGCTTCTCTGATTGGAGGAAAAAAATTATAAGGGTCATTAGAATCACAACCTGAAGCTATGACTACCTTCTTAAACACAGAAAATGTCTAGGCACCTCTTTTGATTACTGGGCCAAAGGTTGCAAAAAGGAAGTGATATACTTCATCATCATGTCAACAAGAAAATAAGTATTTTCTTAACTTTTCAGATGAACAAAATTCTACTTGTTCTAAGTAGTTTAGTTACAGTTTATTATTAGGACCAAATAATCATTTTTAATATAAACATTTCCTATTTGGCTATTAATTCTCACAAATTCTACATTTTGGTGACTAGGATGAGAAATCCAGAAATACAATCTATACCCAGAAAGTAGCTATTAACCTCCTGCAGAGAAAGATTTATAAGTTAAGTAAGATGGTCTGTTAAAAATATCTCATTGTGTATGCTGACAGATTTTTTTGCTAAAAGATGACTAAATTAAGTGTTAATTTATATCTTATTTCCTTGGCTTTGGTGTTTCTGACAGCTCAGTCTCTCTTTAGTAATATATTTTAGGTTCAAGAACAATTTAATGGATAACAGGAACTAATTTCCTGAATAATAATGTTGAGAGAGAGACAGAAAGTGGGAGAGTTATTTAGTCCCCAAATTAGCTGTTTTTATTTGCAGAGAGAAGTGGTACACAACTTCTGAGAAAGGGACTGGCCTATGTTGTCAGTTTCTTTCTTTCTTTCTTTTTTTTTGAAGATTTTACTTATTTATTTGACACACAGAGAGAGAGCACAAGCAGGGGGAACAGCAGAGGGAGAGGAAGAAGCAGGCTCTCCGCTGAGCAGGGAGCAGGGAGCAGGGAACCCAATGCGGGGCTCGATCCCAGGACCCTGGGATCATGACCTGAGCTGAAGGCAGACGCCTAACCGACTGAGCCTCCCAGGTGCCCCACGTTGTCGGTTTCTAAAAAGGTGTGTGATAAAATTCTAACTCTGGTGCTTATGGTGGACCAGAGGGAGCTGCCAGGTGGGCCCAGGGTTTCAGTGGGACAGCCTATGCTAGACAGGTAGAATGGTCTGTGAAAGATTCAGGTAGCAGAAATCAGAAGGGACAAGGATATATGTTTTGCCATGCTCAAAACTGGGAGGAAGTCAACCATATTTCCTTTTCCTCATACTCTACCATGGCTTCCAATGCTCTAGGAGTCTCTCTAGGCCCATGACTTTATGGCTCAGCCCTACCATGTACTCTGCTCTGTCCAGCTGACACATGCCTCTTCCTCGTGCATTCTGAAGAAGACTTCTCTTTTTTTTTTATTCTTATGTTAATCCCCATACATTACATCATTAGTTCTAGATGAAGTGTTCCATGATTCATTGTTTGTGCATAACACCCAGTGCTCCATGCAGAATGTGCCCTTCTCAATACCCACCACCAGGCTAACCCACCCTCCCACCCCCCTCCCTGAAGAAGACTTCTTGACCTTAGTTAACTAACCCAAAGAAGCGACTCTATTGCTGGAGAGTCTCGAGCCAGGCGGGAGGGAGTTGGGGTGCCCCAGCCGGCAGTTTGATAGCAGGGAGGTGGGGTGAGGAGTGGTTTCAGGCCTGATCACCATGAGATTTGGCAAGAGTGTGAATGTGCAAGAGCAAGGAAGAGGAAGGACTGGAGCTACATGCACCTGTTGAACCTGGGTGACTAAGAGGGTGGCAGTGCCACTAACAGGACGTGGGAACAAAGCAGAGGAATGAAGGGATGTGGTAGTGCCTCCGCAAGAAGGCCAGATGAGCACGCATAATCGACAAGCAGCACATGATGTTTGTCTTCACCTGGATACAAATGAGGGAGAGGGACTTGTGGATGGTTCCGTCTAGATCCTTGGCTCTACATCTCTCACTTTACATCTTTTTACTGCACATTAGGTGCTTTGATAATGTAATGCCCTCCTCTCGTCTTCAGCATTGCCTCTATCGCTTTTGCAAATGACTGGAAACTTAACTCAACCAGGGAGAGGATCAGTTTACCTGACTAAGTAGTCCAAGGATGCCTTAACTCCAGGCAAAGCTGGGCTTTAATCAGGTGTCCAAGATGCATGCAGTTTCTCTTCCTTTCTCAGCTCTGCTTCCCGCCCCCCCTTCTTTTTTGCTTCATTTTTCAGGAGGCTTTTTTCCTTGAGGGTCTTGACATAATTGCCAGCAACTCCTAGTGGTGCCTACTTTCAAGTTTAACGTAGAGGAGAGTAGGAGTCTCCTTCTCAGAAATCTCAGGAAGAAGACAAAACCACCTGAACCAATTTCTTATATCTGTGCTGCACTAAGTATATGTACTAAGGAACCCTGTTCTCTCCTGTCTCCATGCTTCAGTTTATATTATCCTCTCCATCAGAAATGCTCTTCCTACAAATATCCAAGTCCTACCATAGCCACCCCTTCCATGACGCCTTTCATGGGAACACCTGCCATACATTTCTTTTTCCTTTAAATTTTCATACTTTCTATTCAAACCTGCTTTATAGCACTTAGCATATTTCTTCCTTACAGGGTTAGGGTTGAGTACATGTTTTGCTCTTCTGTAAGATTTTAAACTCCTTGAGGGTGAAGTCTGTGTTTGACCAGTCTCTGTAATCCCCACACCTGGCATTGGCCTGCATGCCATAGATGCCCAATACGCTTCTGTTAAATGAATAAACAAATCAAATAAATTTTATTTCAATAAGATATTTGTTAATTAAATGTATTTCTAGGGGCAGTACATAGCCTAAAGAAAATCTCACTCGGGGGGGCGACTGGGTGGCTCAGTCAGTTAAGCATCTGCCTTTGGCTCAGGTCATGATCCCGGGGTTCTGGGATCAAGCCCCGCATCGGGCTCCCTACTCAGTAGAGAACCTGCTTCTCCCTCTTCCTCTGCTGCTCCCCCTGCTTGTGCTCTCTCTCTCTTCTCTCTCTCTCTCTCTGTCAAATAAATAAACAAAATCTTCTAAAAAAAAGAAGAAAGAAAATCTCAGTAGGGGCCCTATTTTCCTCCTACTAGCTCATTTGTATCCAGGTGGCCTTACACTAAAGTAAACATCAGGTGTAACTATAGGGAGAAAGAGCTATCAAAACTACAACCTACAACCAAAAGGAAGGTAAAGGCGCTGGGCCGTTGCCATGGTAACAATTAGCAGACCGTGTGGATTTGGAATGGATTTGAACCTTGGACCTTTTGTTGGTAGACTGGTAGGACAGCTTTCCTCTCCTTCTCTCCCTCCCTCCTTGAGCACAGTCTGAGTCAGAGTCTAGCCTGGGACTCAGAGGATCCAATTTAAATAGCTACGCCATAGGAATAGTTCTATGAAACCTAACCAGGAAGCTCCCTTACCTGGTTGTGATGTGACCTATCAAACATTTCTGTTTATTTGATACATGTGATGTAAGCTTGAACAACAGCTAAATCCTGTTCCAACCTGCCCATAATCTACAGACTCTTTCATGTTTCTGTTTATTTGCAGAGCTTCAATCCGAGAACGCTCCAAGTCTCAGCTTTCTTACTTGGTACATGAACCTCCATTAGCTGTTGTAGATCATAAGTCTACTTATGAAGAAGACAGAAAGGTCAGGCACCAGTTGCTCTTGGGGATTGGAGGCAGTCTTTCGGGGACTATTGCATGACCTTTAAACCTGAGAATATGAGTTTTCAAGGCATATATCCAGTAATGTTCACTAAGTCAGATTAAATGGGAGAACCCATGAGGACTTGATGAAAACTCTAAATTCTATACAATATATTAAAAGAAATGCAGAGTAATTAATTACTTTAAGAACATCTGGTAACTAAAACTGGACTATAACATTTATTCAATAGTTTTTAGATGAACCATTGAAATAGACACAGGCAAATTACATGTGCTTAGATTATTTGATCATGTATGTATAATTTTAAAAGTTTTTAAGAATACTTGAAAATAATTTTTCTCAAATTTTTAAATCTCCTCCTTAAATTATAACTACTTTGGCAAAAGTGTTTATTCAGCAAAGGTATTTGAGAACGTTAGCCGTTACAGAAGTTATGATGATTTTTTTTAAGATTTTATTTATTTATTCATAAGAGACAGAGACAGAGAGAGAGGCAGAGGGAGAAGCAGGCTCCCCGCTGAGCAGGGAGCCCGATGCGGGACTCAATCCCAGGACTCTGGGATCATGACCTGAGCCGAAGGCAGATGCTTAACCATCTGAGCCACCCAGGCACCCCAGTTATGATTTTTGAATGAACAGGTTTTATGGACAGTTGTTTACCTCACATAGTTTTACCATAATTTTTTAAGGATACATCTAAAACTAACACTATTAATGTTAATATAATCCAAAACAACACAAAAATGAAAGAAATAGGAGAAGAATCAACAGATACAACAATATTTCTTCCTAAGGATGCAGGTCCTCAAAGCTGTCGTGGGCATCTTACTTTCACAGCAGGTACCCGTCATCTCCCTCCTCAAAGCCTTTCCTAATGCCTGCACTTTATTCTTCATCCTGAGAGTCTCACTTTCAATCCTCCACTACTCTTTATTTGAACCTTTTCATGACAGTTTTCTCATTGAGCCTCATTTGGGATCATGTTGTCTTATTCCCTTACTAAATTACAAGCTTCTTAAAGTTAGTGACTATATATTATTTATGTTTGTATCACCTTAGGCCCTTAGGCCAGTGCCCTGTACTCTATTAGCATATCAGGGGATTTTAAAACTAGGATGAAAAATTGAATTTCTACAATTAAATAAGCTTTGATAAATCTTGTGGTTTGGGACACAAGATTTATCAAAGCAAGTAAGTCAGAGAATATTTCAATTACAAGCACATCTATTATGCATGATGTCATTTCAAACTGTCTTTAAAAAATGTTAAATGAGAATCTGTTTTGGAAGTAATTATAAACCTTTGTTCACACTGACAAATGTGGAATAAAGTACAGTCTTCCTTACGATCTTATGACTGTGACAGAAGGATTATTAAGGCTCTCTTTGTTCTAGCATATTAAGAATGAATAAATAGATGTCTCAATAGAGTTGGTTTAAATAAATTTCATAGAGAAACACTTTTTCTCAGGAGCAGCAGAGAGAAGAAACATATTTAGCAAGCATGATTGCTTACTGCATCTTGCCATTAAGGAGTCAAATCTTCTAGATCTAGAGATAGGTATTTCATTCGTGTCCATGGTGCTGCCACTAATAGGGACAAGATGCCTTATAAAGGAGACTAGTAAAGCTTCACTGACAAAGAACCAAACACTACATTGAGATTTCAAATGTAAGAGTACTAACCATATTTGACTTTTGCATTATTTTTTTTTCTAGTTTCTGTAACTATTTGACAAGAAAAGCAAGAGAAAGGAAGGAAGGAGGGAAGGCAAGAAGGAAGGAAGGAGGGAGGGAAGAGGGGAGGGAAAGAAGGGAGGAAGGGAGGAAGGGAGGGGCGGAGGGAGGGAGGGAGGGAGGAAGGAAGGAAGGAAGGAAAGAAGGTAGGAAGGAAGGAAGGAGAAGAAAATCTGATTCTGTTGTTGCTGTTGAAACTGGCTGGTGGCCCAGCACAGCGGCAGAGATCAGATTCCTACTGGGTTCCCATGATGTGGAGGAAACTCAGAAGGGAACCATTTAAATAAGATGAAACCTAAATCAAATATACACACCAGATTTAGAGAAATAAAAATGCTCCATGTAATAGTCTACTTACCAGTCTTGTAAATTAGAATGGAATGATTAAACAAAATTGAATGTAAACCAATGTAATGTTTAAAAGATGTCACTTCATATTCTCTCTCCAGTTAAGAGAGAAAGAGGAAGAAGGGGGAAAAAAGGGATCTTGCTAAAGCTCCAAGAAAATAAGGTCTTAAACTTATATTATTGCTGCTCATTTGTATGGTAACGATATTAGAGTTTTTTAGATTTAAATTAACAAATTTTTTATTTAAAAATTTTTAAAAATGATTTTATTTATTTATTTGAGGGGAGAGGGGCTGCAGGAGAGGGAGAGAGAAGCCTCAAGCAGACTGCACGCTGAGTGCAGAGACCCATGCGGGGCTTGATCCCAGGACCCTGAGATCATGACCTGAGCTGAAATCAAGAGTTGGACGCTTAACCGACTGAGCCACCCAGGTGCCCCAACTAATTTTTTAAAAAGAAACAATGGAATTAGGGTTGATACCATTTAATTTATGGAATTTCTAATCCCAAGTAATATTTTAAAGTATTTTAAATATGTAGGATATTCTAATCCCAAGTAGATTCTAAAGCATTTTAAAAGTTAACTGAATTCCACAAGCCCAACACTGGCAAAATTCCTTTCTTTTTCTCATTTTATGGAGGAGTTCTAACCTTAATCTGTTAATTGGGAAGTGTTCTATCTTATGTTGCCATGCAAAAGGTTTACTTACACAAAGGAATTATCTCCACCTTGTGGTCTCTTAAGAGTTTTGACTCTGGGCATTTAGAAGAGATGTTTGCATGAGAGGCTTGTATTTCCAGATGCTAAGTGGGGTTACGTGAGACCAGGTCTCCTAGTTAGCTGGTAACAGAGCTAAGACTGCAGCCTGTTTCTTCCCACTCTCCAAGTTGTGCTTTGGGCTCCCAGAAGTGAGTGAAATCTTAGCTATAATGCTGGTAAAATTAAGTGGAGGATTAGGGGAAACCTACAGGCCAGAGGTGCCAGTTTCTGATATTGAGACATGTCTCTCAGGGAAACGAACAAAGTAGAATCTCTGGGAGTTCAAGTCAAATTCAAAGGTTTGAAACCCATCACTTCATCATGGCCAGTTTAGAAGATAAGGTCTAAGGATTGCTTAAGAGGACAGAAACAGGACTCTTTTTTTTTTTTTAAAGATTTTATTTATTTATTTGACAGAGAGAGACACAGCGAGAGAGGGAACACAAGCAGGGGGAGTGGGAGAGGGAGAAGCAGGCTCCCCGCAGAGCAGGGAGCCCGATGCGGGACTCGATCCCAGGACCCTGGGATCATGACCTGAGCTGAAGGCAGTCGCTCAACCAACTGAGCCACCCAGGCGCCCCAGAAACAGGACTCTTAAAAATGACTCTCAGTATATGTCCATTTGGAGAACCTCTGCTCCTTTGTCATAGTTACCATTTCTTATCATCAAATCTTAAAGTCATTATTGAGGCAGGAGATCCCTATGGATTGGCACACAGAAACCAGTGTAACAAAGTATGGAATGCAGAACATAAGATTTAAGTAAGAAGTTATATTTTCACTTGACCTATAGGAGGAGGTGGAAGGAAGGAAACTGGGAAAAGCCCAGTGTCTACTACTGAACCATCTGCATAGTAGGGCAGCTCCGTATTTTTTTAAAATAAATGTTTCGTTGCATGTATGCACCATGGGCATAAGAGTTTCATTCATTCTTTCATCCAGTAAATGTTGATTGTACATCTGTTGTGGGCCAGGGATTGTGTTATGGATGCAAAGATGAACAAGAGCCACGGTCCCTCTCCCTGCCCTGGAGTGCTAGCAGGATACTTTACATGTGATAAACACATATGCATGGTGCAACTTGACCTTGCTACAATAAAGGGAACATATCAACTTTTATAATTTCACCCCTCTCTGTGAGTTACTGGTTTGCCACAAATACAGGGAACATGAATAAAATCATCTTTAGCTTTTTTTAGATGACTAAATTTGTCTTTAGCTTTGCAAAGATCAAAGGAAAAAAATCTATACATCACGGCTTTATATTTTGTGTTCTTCTATTCTTCTACTATTCTTTTTTTAAAACTCTCCTACTTTTTTTTTTTTTTTTAGCTATAGAATATAAGTCAATCAGAAGTCAATTACTCAGGGACAGATTTTCTAGTTTTTGCATCATTCAGGCTTGCTGGTGCATCTTTTTGGGGGTGGATCAGGGGACAGTTTCCCTTGAAGTCTAACTCTAGTGAAAGGGGACAAAAGACAATTATTCAAATCAATTAAATTTTGCCTCTTGTTAGTTTATCTTGGAATGATATCTACTGGAAAAAATCACTTCATATTATTTTTACATGTCTCAGGTATTGTTGCTTGAGGCTAGGGATACCTTCAAGAATCAGGTCAGGGAAATTTCTGTCATGTCAGGCTGTGAGTGGGCTGTTTCATAGGGCAGTGGTTCTGGGAAATTTCGGAGTTCAATGTGCCCGGATGGTACAGCAGAGCTGACACTTTCCAAACCTATAATCATGGAATCCTAGGCATTCTGCTCCTGAAGGAGTCTTGGAGGTTACATACTGCTGGGAAACTCAGAAACTGGGCTTTATTATTAGAATTATCTGAGGAGTATTTTTTTTTAAACACAGATTCACACTCAGACTTATTAAATTTGAATTTCTGGTGATGGGGACCCAGGAATCTGTATTTTTAATCATTGATCCACCATAAGTCCGGCAAGCATCCTGATCTGGACACCAACCACTGTCTAGAAGTGTAAAGGGTCTAAATTTTGCTCTATTGCAAGCTTCCAAGTTAGCCTGACACAATTTCATGGATGCTGGCAGAATATACAAAGGCTCTGAGCCAGAGACAAAAAACTTTATTACTCACGGCCAGAGTAGTGACCAGAGTCTATCATTTGCACTGGTTCCCCAGGCCAACCCCCAGATTTAAAGAGGGCCAGATGATACCAGCAAATGAAGGGGATGTGTTAACAGCAGAGGAATCCTGAGCTGGAGGAGTTTGATTCTTTTATAATAGACAGTAAACACATCTGCTCTTTTCTTGGGATGGAGATACCATCTCTGTCCTCTGAGGCTATTTGATATGCAAACATCCTTAAAAAAATAGTCTGAATAGAGGTGGTCAATGCCTCTGCCTAAGATGGGCAGAAACACAAGACACCCATAGAGAGTTGTCTTCCCAAAGCAACTTAGTCCAACGCTCTCATTTTGAGGATGAGGTCACCGAGCCCCGGAGAGCTAAGTTGCTTGGTGATATATTCCATGGGTGGCTCCACTGGGCTCATCTAAGAACGCTGTTCTTTCTATGCTTGTCCTATTCATGCTTTCCTAGTCACCCCTCTTCCTCCCTGGAATTGATTTCCTAGAGTTAGTAGGTTGTCAGAGATGAAATTATTGGACAGAAAGATTTGCCACATGAATGTAGAGTGACAAGTGCAAATGTTGAGGGCAGACCAAGAGAGAATTTGAAATGGAGGCAATAAGAAATCCATCACCAGCCAAGCTGCCTTCCTCCACCCGAGTTGGCTTGCAATGATAATGCCATAACAAGACACAAGGTTTTACGTAACCTAAATTGGTAACGTGGTCTTTGACTTTGGAAGTGAAAGGAGAGTATCTGAATTTCCTTGAGGTTTCTGTTCCTGACATCCAACTACCTAAAGGGTAAATTACCATGTATTAATGAAAGAGAGCACTAATTAATAGTTTTGTAGTCAATTTGTTATATTTTTTATATATTTTAATAGAAACAGTAAAAAAATAATGCAAATCTATACAAGCCACCTAAAATCCTTTCTTGAATAAAGTCAGTAATACATTTAACAAATGATTGAACAATTAGTCCTACAGATCAAGCACTGAGTAATATCTATAGCGAGGAAAAATGATAGGAAAAATGATGGAATTCTGAGTATAATATCTGCTTTCAAGAGGATAAAAATTTGTGAGCTGTGACACTTCAATGACAACTACAGAGATCAGAATAGGGAAATATTAAAATAGTTTTCACGCCTTGCAAAGGATACATAGAATTTAGAAATCCCGAATGGATTACCATTTATTTCTGGGCACTAATTAAGGAAAATCTTATAGAAAGCATGTAAATGATAACTGTGGACACCGTTTAATACATTTTGATAATTACTTTGCCTTGTTTCAGATACACTGCCCTGACTTAGCGCATTAGTCAGTTACTAGATTGGAGAACTTTGCCATTTATGAATGATGTACCTTGAAATTGTTACGAGTCCTCAAATACGTAAACACCACCATAGCACAAAAAACTTCTTTAAATTAGAGGGACTTTTTTTCAAAGGTCCAACATATTTATTACTCCCCTAGAGTCAACGCATATCTAACTGTGAAATGAAAACCACAAGCTCGCCTTCAGATGAATGTCCAATCTAGCGTGTCCCTTCCAAGTCACGGCATGGTCTCAAGCAATTCAAAACCGTTTCATGCAAAACAACAAATCCCCGCATCTCATAGAATTTGAGGTCACTCATAACCCATCAAACCATGACTTTTAAATCTGTGAATGCCAGAGGGTCTGCTGTATAAGAAAAGAACATAAGCAAAAACGTCTGCGTGTACCTCGGGGTGACTAATGTAACCCTTTGTCCCCTCAAGGACAAGGACAGTCCTGCGGAAGAAGAAATTGAACCTGCCCCGGTTAGGAGGATTTTGAAATTCAATGCTCCCGAGTGGCCCTACATGCTGGTAGGGGCGGTGGGTGCTGCTGTCAATGGGTCGGTCACACCGCTCTATGCCTTTTTATTCAGCCAGATTCTTGGGGTAAGCAAACGCTGGATTAGCTTGATTCTTCTGATATTTTTTGTTTTTCGATCAGTGGATATTGTCATTTTTTGATAGGTTGGCTCTGTATTTTGATGGATTTAGCTGTCTTTTCCTCATCTCTAAAGCATTCCAAGTGCCCCGAGTCTCCATGACACAGCAGGTAAGAAGAGGGAGCTGAGCGCTCTCATTTGGGCTGGCAGGACGCTCCTAGTCATCGTGTCTAAAAAACTGCAAGATGGCTGCAAATATAGTGTCAGGAGAGGGCAATTTCCCTATATGCGAACAAAATTGGAATGCAAAGCAGGTTCGTTGAATAATACAGAAGGATTTTAGGGCCTTTTGATCTTGCTGAAACAGCCGAGGTGCAAAGTTGGCCTATAAAAGCAGGTGTGAGTGCATGTTGCAGAATGGTCTGCTCTGCTGATTGCACCATTGAAATGGCAAGGTGGGGGAGGAAACAGGAAAAGGAAGAGAGAAGTAAAACAAGGCATGGATAAAGAATAAGCTTATTTCAATTTTTCACTCCCTAGGAGTTTTGATAGTCTCCATCTGACTTCATTGCTACAATAAAAATAATAATAACTACAAGCATTAATTGACACTCTTTAAGCACTTTATATATAATAGTTCACTAAATTTTCCTAGTAACCACCCGAGGTAGGTATTCTTATTGTCCCCGTTTTTACAATAAAAAGCGAACCAAGGTATACAGAACTTAAGATAGCAAATAATGGATCTGAGATTCAAATCCAGTGTGACTGGAGAGCCAGGTTCTAATAAAACTCTCATTGCAAAATTAGTTATCGAAATGCTGCCAAGTTTTGTAGTTGAAATTTACCCACATACACAGATCCCATGAGATCAACAAGGGCAAACCGAGAATCTAGATAACTTTATTAATTTGTTCATGGTGGAACAGGCATTAGGTGGCAGGGCCAGGGCTAGAATTCAGCTTTTCCGAAGCCTAGGCTAAAGGATTTGCCAGCGCACCACACTGTCAGAGCTTGCCAAGAGTCCTGAGTGTTAGCTTCCCCTCTACTTCTCTTTCTTTTGTGGCCTCTCTCAAGAGGTCCTGACCAGAAAAATGTCCCCATGGGCATGAATCATACAGAAAGGCCTGGACAGTCCACAGAACAAAATCAAGTCAATTGGGTCGGGAGGGCCTCAGTCACCGCTTCACCTTCCATACTGCCCCCTTGTGGTAAGTGAGGAAATCATGGTAATTTCACAGAGGTAGGAGATGGGGAACCCGGCCCTTCAACTCTGGTAAATTGAATTTCTGGTTGTGTGAAGCCATTTATGATGACAGTCTTTTAAATAATTAATTTATATTCCTCACTTTCTGGTAAGTACAATGTCCTAAATATAATGGAAATGTTCTTTTATTCACTCAACAGGTATTTGCTGATTATTTCCCATAGACACTGTGTTCAAGGGACTTGAGATTGCATTCAATCGTGCTGCCTTCTCTGATAGAGTTTCTAGTCTATGAGGAAGACAGACATTAAACATAAAAATCTACTCATAATTCAGCAAATACTTATGAATCACTTATTGTTTGTCAGACATTGTTGCTGGGAATGAGGATAGAGGGAGGAACAAGAAAACCAAAGCCCCTCCCTGCTCTCATTACGCTGACATTCTAGTAGGGAAAGGCTCTGGAAATGCATCTCACGGAACAGTGATGAGATGTAGAAGGTGTGGTGGATAGGGTTGAATTCTGTAAAGACCCAACTGTGCCCTAGATGTTTGCTTTTAACCTAAGTCTGGGATACCATCTTCTTTGTTGATCATCACTTTCTTAGAAAAACAGAGCAAAGAATATACTCACTCAGCCGTATCCAAACCCTGTACATGAGCTTCTGTGGAAAGAGTGCTGGATTCCCAAACAGGAGATCTTTTTTTCTGAAACTAGCTCTTCTAGATACTTATCAAGCACTATATGCCCTGGGATCCCACCATGCCATTTCTCTGGGCCTTGGATTCCTCAGCTATAAAATGAAGGATTGACAAAAATGGTTTCTAAGATAATTTCCAGCTCTATTAGTCTATGAAATGGCCAAGTCAGAAAAAAATTTGATGATTCAGTTATAACCCCTGCTCTCCTAGAGCACCCACCAGTTGTTGGTAGTGAGAATAATTTCTGTGATTCTTCGGGTCACAACCAGAAATCCTAGGAAAAACTTAGTTTAAGCAATTAGCTTAAGGGCTGCAGTACAAGAGTAACAGGATCTAGCTGGTGAAATCCAAAGTCTGCTCACGGTTAATGTTCTCACAGGGTTATATTTGCTAAGCAAATGATGCTAAATGAAGTACTATTTTTCCTCTCTGATAAAGAAGATCATTTCTGTTTGTCTCTTAGCATAATTACCACATATTCATCAGTAGATTCATGATACTTCATCTCACAGGGTATAATCATGAGTCAGATAATAATCTGTTTGTAATTACGCTATTTTCATCCTGACATACCTAAAGGGCACAAATACTCACATTTGTTGTATTGAGACCACAGTTTGGAATGTAGACCCAGCAAATGATTGCACACTGTTAGGAGCCTGTTTGTTAATCTAGTGAAGCATCAATTCACACATAAGACATAATTTATCTGATTCACTTTCCATCGGTCTAGTTGACTTGGGAAATGTACAAGTGTTCCAAGCACAGCAATGTGTATGTAGCATGCTGGGAGAAAACATGAACTTTGGAGACAGCCAGCCCTGGATCTCTGCTCTGTATTCTCTGTGTGCATTTGAACAAGTGGCTTTTCCTTGATGAATCTTAGTTTCCTCATCTGTAGTAAGGGGCAAGAAAATCTACCTCACTGGGTTGTTTTAAGAAGCCTAACTTAAGGAAATCTTCATTTAAGTTAAAATAGGCTAAGGAACACGTTTGGCATCTGGTAAATAGCAAGAGTTTAGTGAATGTTTCTTTTCTTCTTAAACAAACTTACCATTACAAAAATGGCACAGATGTATCATAGAGGAACCTATGGATGGGTAGCTTTGGGGGCTGCATTTCAACAAGGTTATACCAAGGACTCATGGAGTAGAATTTTGTGAAAAAGGTTATGGAGAGACAGATGCCCAATCTTGAACTGGACAGTCATGGGAATTTAATATTAGCCAAATACTTGTTTAACACTGAGAAGATGAGTAATGCCAAGAGCCAAAAGAGCCTGCCAAGAAGAAAACCACTGGAATCAGAAAAATAGACATTTCCTTATCTAATAATAACCATTAGCTAAATGAACTTAGAAGTTCATTGATATTTTGGGCTCTAGTTTTCCATCTATAAAATAAGAGTTAAGCTGACTCACCTGCACTTCTATGGTCCTATAGTCCATGATTATAATAGGTGACATGAGGGAGCAATGGGAATTGTGGCATCACAGTTTGGGGGATTTGTATAGTGATTTTTTAAAACAAAATGAAACAGGCCTTTAAATCCCTAAATTTGTAAACTCTGTTAAGTAAACATATGAATTATTCTATGCTGGGAAGAATGACCATGGAAACTTCTGAACCCACTTCCATCTGTATTAAGAACTATGAAGACCCTAGAAACTGTCCTTGAAACAGTAAATCTTATTAATCTAGAACCCCTCCCTCCACTTTGGAATTTGTGGTGATTTGAATATGTTACTTTGCTTTACAAAAAAGGATTTGTTAATGGAGTAGTATACATTGTTTTCAAGAGATTTATTTGGTATGTGGCAGGCACTCAATACGTATTTATCGAATAAATGGTTTCTTTTGAGCAGCTGCTTGTTAGTATTGTTCTAGTTACTTAAATTAATTTAGAGCAATAAATAAGGCTGTCTAATGCATACTTTTTCTGAACTCAGAGTTCCCTTACTTAGCCCAAGTTAGGAATTTTGTTGTACCTGGAATCCATTTCATTATAGGGCAATGTCATTAGAATATGCAGCTATTCTCCTCTTGTCTTACTGCAACAGCTGAGTCCCCAGTCAGTTGCTTGAGCATACGTCTGCAAGTTCAGAATACACTTAGGAAGTATAGTTTACTCCTTCTTATGGACTCAAAAAACCCCATTCACAACTTCCATAGTTGTTTTGGGGGGGTGGGGGATGTTTTCATCCTGATTTAGAAACAACAACCTCAGCCTCAGATGGATGGAAAGTGTTTTTTCTCCTAAGCCAATTCCAGTTAATGACTTGATAGCTGGTTGCTTTTTTAATGATGCTATTATTCTTATATATATATGAAACTAATAACATGTAGGGCACCTGAGTGGGAAAATCATCTTTATTGCTTCTATTATTTGAGAAGGACAGAAATCATGATAATACTCTGTGCTTTATTCCGGATAACATTCTCATCTTCCTTCCTTCCTTCCTTCCTTCCTTCCTTCCTTCCTTCCTTCCTTCCTTCCTTCCTTCCTTCCTCCCTCCCTCCCTCCCTCCCTTCTTTTCTTCCTTCCATCTTCCCTTCCTTATTTCTTTGCCTTATTATATAAAGGACTTGAGATATTTAATCATGTTTTTCATCCGTATCAATGAAAAGCCAACACAATTACCTACATCAGGCTAAGAAACAAGACCAAAATTCTGCAAATTGTTGCTATTGGTTTTCATTTGCCAAGTTTCCTTTCCCATGGGGAATTAAAGTACACATATTCATAGCTAACTTTGGTTTAATTACTAGTATGTTCTCTTAACCCAATGCTTAAGAGAAATTTCTTTTAAGCATATTTTATTTCTTTTGCTATTGTTTGTAATAATAAAGTAGTATCTTTGCTTACTTTCTTCCAAAGACTTTTTCACTTCCTGATAAAGAAGAACAAAGGTCACAGATCAATGGTGTGTGCCTGCTCTTTGTAGTAGTGGGCTGTGTATCCTTTTGCACTCAGTTTCTGCAGGTAAGGAATTTTATTTTTTAGTAAGTGATTTAGCTATTTCCTCCCATTTCATGTTAAAATGTCACTAAAGACTCCTTTATGTTTCAGGGATATGCTTTTGCTAAATCTGGAGAACTCCTTACAAAAAGACTACGTAAATATGGTTTCAGAGCAATGTTAGGGCAAGACATTGGCTGGTTTGATGACCTCAGAAATAGTCCTGGGGCACTAACAACAAGGCTTGCTACAGATGCCTCCCAAGTTCAAGGGGTAAGCTTTGGGGGAAAACCAGGGGTGTTATCAACTGGAGTAAACTTCCTTTCCTTTGAGCATTCTGATAATCACCTATATGTTTCCCATGAAATAGGAACTCATGGGATTGAGATGTCTCAGAGCCACATTTCCCACCATTTCCAATGCTGACAAACAGCAGTCTCTCCCAGGCAATGTCCAGACTCAGTGCCACAAGTCCAAATCTGTCAGGGTTTTAGATTTCCTGGGAGTCTAGCAACTGAGAGCTTTCCTGAGACTCATTTCTCAGATCATTTTCAGGACCAGAGGCTCAGATTCTATAAGACTTAATGGCGCCTCCCAGAGGTGGAAGCAAAATCTCTTTACCCAGTGCCCAACGTGCAGGGAGTCCTAGGAAAAGAGATCTTCTGAGTTGCCTCTGTAAACGCTAGTCAGAAAACTGAAGAAAAGAAATAAATGATTGCCGTCTAGAATCCTGAGGCATTCATAGAGACAGAGCTGTGGTTTCTGAAACCCAGAACCTGCAGCCTTGTTCAGGTGACTCATCCATTGTAAGGCGAGGCAATGCTTTTAGAAAACCAGGGGTTTGTATTAAAGTGACGAGAGTCAAATGTGCAGTCCAGCACCTCTCCTCACTTTCTGTGGGAATAAAAAGAAAGAAAGAGAGGAAGGAAGGAAGGAAGGAAGGAAGGAAGGAAGGAAGGAAGGAAGGAAGGAAGGAAGGAAGGAAGGAAGGAAGAGGAAAAAGGAAAACCACAGTTTGTGAGGTTCTTGGAAGAACCCCCCTCCACCCCCCATGCCCAGATTGAAAAACTGAGTTATGTATGTCTTGACTCCTAGCCAGTTCAACCAGAAATATGGACAATGGTGTGAGAGACTTTCAGAGGAGCATGGGATCCTCTTCCTCAGAGCTTTTTTCTAGGTATAAATGTGTTTCCCACAGACTTTGGGTCACACTGTACATATTGTTTTGTAATCTTTCTGTTTTTCCCCTACAACAATCTGATGTGGGCATATTTTCGTTATTATATATTCTTCTAGAGTAGATTTTTGATGGCTGTATAATTCATCATCTTAATGTGTCATCGTTTAAGAATTCCTTATTTAAATGCCTGTTTTTCTCCCTTATAACAACTTATGTCATTTTACATCAAGCTTGGCATATCCTTGATTATTATTTTTTTGTTCTCAAAATATAATCATTGGATCAGAATGTATAATCATTTTGAAGGGTTTTAATGTGCATTGTCTTACTGCTTGAAGGAAGCTTGTAGCAATTTCACTTTTACCATCTGAGTATTCTAGTGTCCAGTTTACCTGACTCTTGAGCTTAGGTCAGATAAATAAGCCATCACCTTATCTCTTCTATTTTTGCATCCTTCAATCTGCAAGGGGCTTTTTAAGGTTATTCACTCTCACTTGAATTCATAGAGTAGCATCTAACCATCTTACAAAAATTTTACTTATTCTTTAAAAAAATGAAAAGTTTCTAAGAGTTTCTCTAATATTTTTGTTAAACTTTTTTTTTTTTTAAATGAGATTGCTAACCTGGGTGAAATTTATTTTAATATTGGTGTAAAGTAGAAATCTGGCTTTTTTTTCCCTTCAAACTGAATAGAAAATATTCCCCCACCAAAATTTAATGTAGATTTCATTTTCCAGCTATTTGAAATCCTCCTGCCCTTTGTGACTATCACCTTCCCATGGATACTTGGAGCTATGGGGATTCTCTATTCTCTTCCACTGATCAGTTTGATTTATTCTGTGCCAGGACCTTACTGTTTTAGTTATATAACTTTATGATAAGTGTTTATTATCTGGTAAGGTAGATCCTTGCACAATAATTTTTCCTCTTCAAAATTCTTTTATTTATTCCTGGACATTACTTATTCTAATGTACTTTAAAATCATCTTGGCTTCTTCAAAAATTTTATTTTAATTCCCATTGAATACATCCATGCAGCAACCCCCCCCCCCCCCCCCCCCCCCGCCACACACACACAAAGATTGCTGTTGTGGGGATGCTAACAGTTCCCAGGAGAGACATAAATAAGAATCTTTAGTTTTTAGTAAGATTTATAACTACATGATATGCTATATGCTATGCATAGTATATATACACAGATACATTAAATATCACTCTATCTTGTTCATTTTTTCTTATGTATTTTTTTCACAATTTTGAATGAAAGTCATAGATTGAGATTTTAGCTATTAGTTTTTGTATATTTATCTTACTGCCGTCCATTTTTTTTTAGATTTCTTTCTTTATTTATTTGAGAGAGAGAGAGCATGAGAGGGGGTAGGGTCAGAAGGAGAAGCAGGCTCCCCGCCGAGCAGGGAGCCCGATGCGGGGCTTGATCCCGGGACTCCAGGATCATGACCTGAGCTGAAGGCAGTCGCTTAACCAAATGAGCCACCCAGGCACCCTGCCATCCACTTTTTAAAGTTTTCTTATTAACTAATTTTTAAAAAATTTAATATAGTCTTTTGAATTTCTAGGTATATAATCAAATTATATGCAAAGAAAGATAATTATATCTCTTTTTTTCTTTTTCAATTCTTATACCAACTATTTTATTTTCTCATTTTATTTCAATACTAGAAGTTTCAAACACTTGAGTAGAGTGCTAAGGGGAAGTAGAGGAGATTCTCGTAAGTAAGACAAAAATACATAAAGTAGACTTGTCAGACTACATAAAAACTTAAAACTTTGTATAAACAAATGATAGATTATGAAAATATTTGTAACAAGGATTAATATACCTAATAAGTCTAACATGTGTAGTGTTCCTAAAATTGGTTAGAGAATAAAAATAAACCAAATAATAAAGGTTAAAAAAAGGTATATGGACAAGCAACAAAAAAAGAAATGCAATGGGACAATTAACAAATGAAGAATTGTATAACCTTATTAATAGAAAAATACTAATAAAACAATGAAACACCATTTTCCACCTACCAACTCAATAAAAACTATCATGAATGACAACTTCCTGTATTTGTGAGGATGAGGAGAAACTGACAGTCTCATAAGATATTGGTTACAGTTTGAATTCTTCCAACATTTTTTAGAGAATAATCAGGCATGCAAATCCTCTGACTAAAATTCATATGAGTAAATTCTCTCCTATTTTGTGACAGTGTGCATTCAAATGTATGTTTATATTGATCAAAAAAATTAATAAAATCCCCTGGAAACTACCTGAATATCCACCAATAAGAAAATAGTTGAGTGAATATATCCATACTAAGGAAAAGTAGGCAGCTATTTTTAAAGGTATTAATGTAATGATTTGGAGGGATGGTTACGTTACACCAAGTGAAAAAAATCGAAGTACAAAATAATATCTAGACTGATGCCTTTTTTGTGAAAATGTTTATTGTTATGCATGTATATATATTTCACATGTCTTGAGCTGCATTACTTTTTAAATTTTTAAAAAATATTGATTGAATAAAATGTGAAAGAAAACAAAATGATGAAATTCCAAAGAACTATGCAGCTATTTTCCAAATTCTCTATAATGCCTGACTGTCCTTGCCAACTAGAAATTCTTTTGTTCTTTTTGTTCTTTTTGTTCTTCTTGTGGTAAAATATACAAAACATAAAATTTACCATTGTAACCATTTTTAAGTGTACAATTCAGTGGCATTAAGTATATTCACATTGTTATGCAACCATCACCACTCTCCATATCTAGAACTTTTTATCATCCCAAATAGAAGCTCTGTACCCATTAAATATTAACTTCCCATCCCCCCCAACCCCTGATAACCACAATTCCATGCTGGCTTTATGAATTTGACTATTCCAGGAACCTCATATAAGCAGAATCATATAATATTTGTCCTTTCATGACTGGTGTATTTCACTTGGCTTAGTGTCCTCAAGGTTCAACCATATTGTAACGTGTCAGAATTTCATTTCTATTTAAAGGCTTGGATAATACACCATTATTTGTATAGACCACATTCTGTTTGTCCATTCTTCTATCAGTGGGCACTTGGGCTACTTCCACCCGTTGGCTATTGTGGATAATGCTGGTATAAATATAGGTGTACAAATAAATTCTTAGTTTAGCTTTTCTTTCCTGTCTTCAAGGAAGTTATAACCAATATATGGGAATTCTTGGGACCAGAGAGTTCGTATTCCATTTGCGTCTTCAATACAGTATGAAGATGCAAATTATTCTTGCATAGCACTTCCTTAGTACCTATGGTTACCTAATAGTTTACCTGTGATTGTTTTGCCTTCTTTATTTTTTAAATAATGCTGAAGTTTCTACAATACTGACAAAAATCTTGCAATTGTACCCAGGCAAGTCTTTCCTACACAGAAGACACTAACCTTTGGTCACATCTGCACAGTTGCAACTGAAAGAAGAGTTGGAACCATCAAATAATTTTGCTTATAAATAGTAATTACCACCAGTGTCCATTCTCCACCTATATTGAGAATGAATCCGTTTTCTCCATTTTGTGTTGACTGAACAGCTAGTTATTAAGTCAGCATGTGATTTTGTACCAATGAGCAGGTTAACTTCAATGAGAATCAAAGTGGGCTCTTATAATAGTCTTGTACAAATTTCAAAACTATAATTAAAGAACAAGCATCAGTCTTCACCGAATAATCAGAAATATTACCATAAGACCAAGGCCTGGGTATTTTCAAGCAGACCAAATCCCTAGTCACCTGACATACATGCATGCTGTATTATACAAAACATAAAATTTACCATTGTAACCATTTTACAGGGCTGAATTAGTCTCATACTGACCGCTCTAACTCTGACTCCCATGAAATGAATTAGTCAATAGATGAGCTTCCACAAAGCTGTGAATAAAATGGACTTTTCTTAATCCAGTCTTCAAGTGCATTAGGGAGCTCATTATTTTAAAAAAATCTTTTTAAACATAGAACTACCGAATGACCCAGTAATTCCACTCCTAGGCATATATCCAAAAGAAGGAAAGCAGGGACACAAACAGGTATTTGTACATCAATGCTCATAGCAGCATTATTCATATGGTCAAAAGGTGAAACAATGCAAGCGTCCATCAACAGATGAATGGATAAACGCAGTGTGGTACATACATATAAAGAAATATTATTCAGCTTTTCAAGGAATGGAATTCTGATATGTGCTACAACATGGATGGACCTTGAAAATGTTATGCTTAGTAAAATAAGCTAGACACAGAAGGCTATTGTACGATTCCACTTAGATACTCAGAAGAGGCAAATTTATAGAGACAGAAAGTAGAATAGAGGTTGTCAGGGGCTAGGGAGAGGGAGGAAGAGGGGTTATTATTTAATGGGTACAGATTCTTGTTGTAGATGATAAAAAGATTTTAGGCATAGATGATAGTGATGGTTACACAACACAATATATTTAATGCCACAGAATTTTATACTTATGAACGGCTAAAATGAGAAACATCATGTTATGCACATTTTATCAGAATAATTTCTTTTTTTTTTGTATAAAATTGCCTTTTCACATAGTGATATTTGGTAAAAGAGACTGTGTGTCTCAGATCGGTTGATTGCTTTTGGTTTGCAGGCAGCCGGCTCTCAAATCGGAATGATGGTCAGTTCCTTCACTAACATCACTGTGGCCATGATCATTGCCTTCTTCTTTAGCTGGAAGCTAAGCCTGGTCATAATGTGCTTCTTTCCCTTCTTGGCTTTATCGGGAGCCATACAGACCAGAATGTTGACAGGATTTGCCTCTCAAGACAAGGAGGCTCTGGAGATCGCCGGCCAGGTAATCTTACAGACCCAATTTTCAAACTGCTTACAGCTCAGTGGCTGTCAGACAAACCCTTAAGGATGAGTAGTACAGATAGACTTAAGGAAGCTGTTAGCCTACAAACGTTCATCCTTGGAAGCCTCCCACTAGCCTTTTTTAAGCTGTGGCAATAAAGCTCTGATGCGGTGAGTGTGAGCAGGCGTAGAGAAACAGCGGGGCAAACAGAGTGGGTTACATATTCAATTTCCTCTCCAATGGTTATTTTCTCCACCTCCCAATTCGGTGTATTCTCATTCACAAGAGTGGAGACTTCAGTTTTCTGTTTGCTTGGTTTCTTAGCTAAATGGTTTCCGCAGGTCATGCTGCCCACAGAGAGAGGTGCTATCTTCTTTTGAATGGCACACACTTTTAATTTTCACACTTTAGTGTCTGCTAGACTTATAACAAATGTCTTTCCCAAATGGAACTATGACATTCAGTTTAGGTCTCGATTACTCTTAGTTTTCAGTGATGCACTTTTAAAAGTGTGTCCTAATGAATATCTGGTTATCGGGTAAATGAGGAGATGGTGGCATAAACATTTATCAGATATAAGAAATCATGCACACGCATATACACACCTTTACTCTTTTAACAAATTTACTGTTATCTAGGTTTTGTCTCTTAAGGGAGGAAATGTGAACATCACCCAAGTAGACAGAAGCCAAGAAGATTTCATATACCAATGGGACAGAGTGGCCCACCTCTGTGCTATTTTAGGATAGGAAATGCCAATTCAGAAACAGTGATGATTTACCCTAGTGTACGGACTGAAACAAATACAAATTCATAGTATAGACTAAAGATCAACTTTATACTTATATAATATTTGGTCAGATTAATTTTTTTTAAAGATTTTATTTATTTATTTGACAGAGAGAGACACAGCAGGAGAGGGAACACAAGCAGGGGGAGTGGGAGAGGGAGAGGCAGGCTTCCCGCCGAGCAGGGAGCCCGATGCGGGGCTCGATCCCAGGACCCTGGGACCATGACCTGAGCTGAAGGCAGACGCTTAACGACTGAGCGACCCAGGTGCCCCGGTCAGATTAATTTTTTAAGAAAATAGAATCGTATTTTGAACTTACATTGTTCAGTATCTTTTGTGCCGGAAGACATCTAAAGTTATCGTTTTAGACATTTCAAATAAATTCACAAAAGAGCTAAAAGCTTTCAAGGATCAGTGTGGGTACATCTTTCCCCTTTTCTCTTCTACAACAAGTGGAGGCAAAAAAGCCATGTTAGTATTAAGTAGAACTTGAGGTTAGCCAACTCATGATCCAGGTAAGCTGACCTCAGACAACTTCTTTGTGTTCCCAGATGATGCTTCCGCCGCAGATTCATACCATCTTCTGCCATTTGCACCAGATCGAGTCCATGTGGCAGCTGAAATGTCATGAGAGTAGTTATTTCTGCTCTTTTGTTCCTAAGATTCTTTTTCACTTTTCAGATTACGAATGAAGCTCTCAGTAATATCCGCACTGTTGCTGGGATTGGAAAGGAGAGGCAGTTTATTGAAGCATTTGAGGTTGAGCTGGAGAAGCCATTCAAGACCGCCTTTCGAAAAGCGAATGTTTATGGATTATGCTTTGGTTTTTCCCAGTGCATAGTGTTTGTTGCTAATTCTGCTTCCTACAGATACGGAGGTTACTTAATCCCCAACGAAGGGCTCCATTTCACCTATGTGTTCAGGTGAGGACTATCAGGCCAAGGTCATAAAAGACCAGCACTCTAGGGAGGAATAGCCTGGCTCTGTAAGGTAGGCTTTGCTGCTTGACAAACCACACCAACCTTGGTGTCTTAAACAGTTGGATTTATGATTTGTCAAGATTCTGTGGGTTGTCAGGGTGGTTGTTCTGGACTAGACTGATTCAGTCAGGCTTCTGCATGCCTTTCTTCATATCACGGTCTCAGTATTCCAAGCACAACAAAAGAGAGCAAGCCCCGTTGTGCAGTGGGAAAGCACGTTTCGAGTCCCTGTGGGTATCACATTTTCAAAGATCTCTTTGGCCGAGGAAAGTCATACAACCAAGCCCAGATTTAAAGAAAAGAGAATGGAATCTACCTTTTAATGAGAGGACCTGAGTGTGTTTCTCCTTTACGGTCACACTGCTGTCACACACACACTTCTGAACCCTGATGGATCCCAACTTAATTCTGACACCATCTACCAGGAGATAGCGTCGGATCCCACAGGTTAAGGGCTCCGTCCTGCCAAGACTGCCCATATCACCTTCCTTAGACCCTTCAGACACCCTACCTTTCCAGAGGTCGGGGGCAGGGATAGGACTGAAATTTCCACCTCTCTAGTTGTGTGGTTACTTCCCTTGGCAACTAGCGGCCTTCCAAAGTCACCTCATTAACATAACCAAAGACACCTTGATCGCTCTCCAAATTTAGGAACTTCCAAGGATTTAAGAGCTCTGTGCCAGGAATGGGAGCCAAAGACCACATAGATGTTTCTTACTATAAATCACAGTATCACAGAGGAGTAAAAAAGTCATATTGCCAAGGGATTTGTTCAGAGTAATAGGATAAATGAACCATTTACACAGTCTGTCATACTGGTTAACGCTAAGAAAATCTAGAGGCCTTGAATCAGAGAGTTCTTTGAACCATCTTATCTGAACTCTACTTCTTGCAAGAAGGGCATGTTTCCCCCTTAATCCTCCCAGGTAGAGACAGCAAAGGCCAGGACAGGGGAATTATGTTCCTTTCTTATAGTCTGCATCTGCTCTTCTGATAAGATTAGTTTCTCATATTTCTAGAGGTGAGAGCCAAAGGGTGTCAGGGTACCAAGGGACTGGGGGTGGGTGTATATGGCTATAATGTGGTGGGGTGGGGGATGTTAGAGGGATGAGAGAGAGGTTGTCTGGGAAGGCCTTGGGAGGACATTAGGAAAAGTGGTCCCAACAGAAATTTGTTCTTTTGGGGTCATTCTCAAGCTATGAGTCTTCTTGCCTTCTAGATTTCTTCTAGAAATATAGAAGAAAATTTTCTCCTGCCCTGCTCGACCCACCCTAATCAGGAAAGCCTCTTTTCTAAATTTTGGCATATTGAGAGCTGTGAACCCCCAAATCAGAAATCACAAACTGTTGACTTGTTAGTTTCTGTGAGATATTTGAAGAATTATTTGCCAACATGTAAAAATTGGGAAACTATAGAAAATTCCCAACTTCTGGCTTCTCTTAAAAAACTGGTGAAAGGTAGAAGGTGAAAAGGAACACCTTCCACCATTTCTCATTTTATTCCAGGTGCTTTTCATTGCTTTAAGTTTTGGGCTGGGCTCCTAGAGATGTTTGGGTTTGCAAATCTGGCCTAAAAGAATTCCTTGCTTATGAACTGAGCAGTAAAACACACAAACACACTGCCCTCCACCACCACTGAGGCAGGCCCTCTGTGCATGGTGATGCAGGTGGTCAACCAGAGGATGCCCCTCGAATCTTCATCTCTACAGCACGGGAGCTGTCTGTCACCATATTAATCACTCATGTATTCACTCACCCATTTGCTCATTAATTATGCACCCAGTGAATATAGTTAAAAGTTTTAGAAGCAAACAGACAATTGTATCTTTCCCATGGTGTCTGAAGCATGAATGACACGCATGCTTGGTACAGAAGGATGCTTATATCACTAATCATTGTCTTTTTCAAAACTTACCATAGATTCAAAGAATGTTAGCTTTGTAAGAACTCAACCCAATCTGGTGATCTTTCAAACCCCTTCCCTCCTTTTTTTTTTTTTTTTTAAGAAGTCTTTTTTTTTTCCCCAAACAAGTTTTTGAAAAAGAGGCTATAGTAGCTAAAGCAGGGTTTGGAGGTGTGAACACCACTTGTGCGATTCTCCCCTCACCATTTTTACATAGAACTCATTGCAAACTGCTAGTCTCTCCAAGCCCCCATTCCCAGACAAGTCTAAGGCAACCTGCTCAAGGCTGCTCCGTTCTTTCCTAGCAGAACCAGGGCCGGACCCCCCCATACCTTCCTCTTAGGCTGTCATACCAACCACCCCACACTCCTTCTTTACCCGGGTGTCTGGTCTATTGCAGGGTGATCTCTTCAGTTGTACTGAGTGCAACAGCTCTTGGAAGAGCCTCCTCTTACACCCCTAGTTATGCCAAAGCCAAGATATCAGCTGCACGCTTTTTTCAACTGCTGGACCGACACCCCCCAGTCAAGGTGTACAGTAGTGCAGGTGAAAAGTGGGTAAGTACTGAGGGGGATAAGGAGGGAGTTGGGGGGGCACTGTGCTTATGGGTGTGTGTGTGTGCAGAACAGCCTTTGGAGCTGGTCAGAAGATACCACTTAGTTTTTCAGTTCCTGCAGTTTATGGGTTCATTCATATGCACTCAGAATGCACAGACAGTAGATTTATAAATGTAAAGGAATGAAGTAAATTAGCATTAAAATTATTCATAAAGCTGGCATTTGAATAAGGCAATGATATCCAGTAAATGCTAAACTCTGTGTAATATAAAACACACTTAGTTCCAGAATGAATGAAGCTGGATATCTTTTGAGACCTACCCAACCACCATGTTTTCTACCAATGTTCTAGTATGGGATGTAGAAACACCAGTTCTTCCTGTCCAATAATATTGATTCAATTCATGTTTATCTAGGCTCAAGTTTTAGCTCGTGTGGACCCCCAGAACACTAATTTGATCTCAACAAAATATCTTTTCTTCTGATAGTCCTCACAGATGTTTTTTAATCTTCCCTGCCTATTTTTTTTAATATTCCAGTGTTTTCAAGAGAACAAAACAAAACTAAAGCCTAGTAAAGCTGAACAAAATTCAGAAATCTTTGTAAATTGGTCAAGTGACCTGTTCCTCCTGTTGTTATTAAATTCTATCCCTTTCTGGAATTCATAATTCAGATAGTCCAACTGAAGGTATCTACCTTTGCAATACAAGGTGCAAGTAACTTTCTGAGTCATTTGAAGCATAATGCTAGTATTAGAAATCTTCAGGGGGAGCAGAACTCTAGGGGTTTGGACAGTTCCTGGCTTCTGTGATGGAATCATATCTTCTATTTGTTCTTTTCCATTCAGAATGTCCAAGAAAGGATGACGAGGAAATCCCTTTAGGTTAGGATGGGAATGAGAGGTCACATATCTTTCATTTCACTGCTCAAACCTCCCTTTATTCTCTACCTGCCAGAATAGGGAACAGAATGGCATTTCATCAAGTGGCTGTCTTTAGACTTTGCACTATGGCTGCGTGCTGTTGAAGGTACCTTAAGCAAGGACTTAAAACTCAGATTAGGTGCATTTTCAGTATTCTGGATTCTAGTAGGAACCTATGTAAGTCCCATCTTCCCATCCACAGGACAACTTCCAGGGCCAGATTGATTTTGTTGACTGTAAATTTACATACCCTTCTCGACCTGATATACAAGTTCTGAACGGTCTCTCAGTATCGGTTCGTCCAGGTCAAACGCTGGCCTTTGTTGGAAGCAGTGGATGTGGCAAGAGCACGAGTATTCAGCTGCTGGAGCGTTTCTATGATCCTGACCAAGGGAAGGTGGTAAGCAATGCAAATGCCTTAGAGAATTGTACTTTCTGCAGAATATCTCCAACCCCTTCAAAATGGTTTCAAGATCCCGCCTTGCCGGATTCACTCTAAAGTGCTTGCCTCGGACACTTAGCCCTGTGGATATTTTCCAGTTCCAGTCATTTGCTGGTTGACCTGATTCTACCTCACACTTTCTAACATCATATTCTTCCCAGTTCCAGATGGCCTGCTGGCTAGTTAGACAAAGCAAACTGGGCGCACGGCAAAGCTGGAGATGAGTGTGTTTAACAGAAGTGTTCACTTACCTCTAAATGGAGCAGAAAGTGCAAACTAATCAGGAAACTAGTGAGCGCGAAGGGAAAAACTGACGGGGTGATAAGTAACGCAATGATAAATAAGTTGGGGGGGAGGTTGAGTACGAAAAACCTGACACAATCCTGGTTCGAGAAGCTTATGTCTATATGACATAAAGAACTCAAATTGGTAGTTATGTGCCAACAAAGCTTTGGCAAGGAGATTTGAAAAATTGGTGAACTGCTTTGTTTCTCCTTTTCCAGAGCATTTCTTCCTCTTTTCTGCCCTTTTTCTAATAATATATGCAGAGGAATACAAAATAAAATAGGAAAGATTTGTAATAAAAAGCAACCTCTTATTCTACCCTTTCCACCATTTCCCATTTCTCTGTAAAGACAGCTATTTTTAACTACACGATGTTTTTAGATCTTTCAATGATTACCTCAATGTCTCTACAGAATATGATTACGCAGCTGTTTCACGATTTAACAGATTCAGACTCTCTGTTGACTTACTCTCAAGAGATGGAAATTTAGCTTACCCTTCCCACTCTCCCTCTTTTTACGCACCTCCTCCCAATATAGATATATCACTTTAAACGGTTTCTCTGCTTATAAATTTAATTAATATAATTCTGCTTCTTTTCCACCACCTACAGATAGTATCTCTTGAATTCTCATTTTTTTTGATATGAGGATAGTAGCAATCCTATGTTTATTTTCACCCCTTCCTCCCTCCTTTTATTTCTCCAGTCCTAATAACTGTACTTTTATATTATCAAAATGCAGAACACTAACATTCTGTTTAAAGCATTTATTATCTTTCACGCTTTCACTCTAGGCTGACTCTAAAAGTTAAAAATCAACTGACGACTTTTGTTGTGATTATGTAAATATTGTTCATCCCATAGTCAAGTGGTGAGATACATCAGCATTACATTTTCTTTCTTGATCGTTTTCTGAAAGGCTTTCTTTTTTCTTGCACCCTCTGCCTTTATAAAATGTTTGTATTCTTCCCATGTCTCTATCCTGCTACCTTTTCTGAAGGACCAGCTTTTTTCTCTCATGCCTGTCACTGCCTGGACTAATTACAACCTGTGGCTGCCGAACACTTGTCACCCTGTGAGTTTCCTGCCTGTTTTCTTAGGATTAGATCCATCATTTCCTAATTCCCGTATCTTCCTCTTTCTTGGGTTTCACTTTCATTTTGTTGGAGTGCATCCACTAGTAGTTTTCTAAGAAATGATTCAGAGGCATAGGTCTGAAAATGTTTTATTCTGCTCCCCAGTTGATAGAGTGCTGAATTCTGATATTTTGGGAGAAAAAAGGCCTTTTTGAGTTCCCTGGGTGGTATGATCTTCATTGCAATGAGGACAGGTCACATTATGAGGAGAAATGCTGAGAGAAACTCGAAGGAGGCAACTAAAGAGTCCCCTGCATAAAGCAAAACAAAGAAACAAGTGAACAGATAGTGGTAGAATCCAGGAAATTATGCAAATAAGGAGTAAGAGTTGATTATATATAATTTATAATCACTTTTTAATTAATTTTAGGTATAAAGATTTTAATGTGTTTAAAAGTACATAGTGATTGAGGAACCTAGAAAGCACATTGCACTGGGGTCTGATCTCTGCAAAGGAGAGGGTCCAGTTTCCCAAAATGTCAGATCATCCCATCTATCACCCCAGGTAGACTGTGAGCTATGAGACATACAGGGATCCAAATCCTTCACGTTTGACCTTTCCAACATTAACATATACATTAAGTATATTTCTCTCAATGTGCTCAGTGCCTGTTCTGGTCATAGGTAGGAAGCAATGCCCATGAAGAAATCAGCATGATTCCTTACATCTCATAAATACAATATATTTTATTGTATCACTGTAAAACATTTCTGCGAACTTTTTTCAAGGGGAAAGATACCACCTTTTATGCAATTTTTAAAAATTGTCTTTGCTTTTAAGGAAGCTACCAAATGCAACTTTCAATGTTTTCAACATTTAATTCCTGTGATATGCAGTACTGTGTTAGGCCCCGTGGGAGAGTCTAAGGAACGTGAAGCATGTCTTCTGTCTTTTAGGAGCTTACGATACTATCTCATGTACAATAATTAGCAAACAGCTCCAGTACTTAATTAGGTATCAGATTGTGCTTTGCAATATATAAGTACTATGGAAAATAAGCAGAGGAAGATGAGCCAGGGCTAATTGCTGAGGAATGCCCTACATTTTTTCCCACTGGTGTTTGCTTTTTCCATTGTTGAGTATTTATCTAAAATATCATATGTTCACAGCATTTAACATAATCTTTTTCTGAAATCAGAAGGCCAAACACTTTATAGTGGTATGTTAGAAATACCGTACCTTTACTATCTTAAGGATTTTAAGTGAAACAGCTCAAATGGTAGATATTTGAGTTCCTGTACTCAAGGGTCTAGCCCACGAACAACAAGAACACAGAGATTATTTTTTCATTATATAGCAGCCAAAAGACTGCCTAGTTTGGTGCCCTTGTGGCAGGAAATTCAATATATGTTTGTTGACTGACTAAGTGAATAAATATACTCGTTTCTTACTTGGGTCTATTATGTTAGTGTCAGTAAAATCAAGGAAACAGCTTTAATTCTTATACTGTCCAATGGTTTTACATAGAAGAGCCTTTTTTTTTTTTAAGATTTTTAAAATTTATTTATTTGACAGAGAGATAGAGAGAGAGCACAAGCAGGGGGAGCGGCAGAGGGAGAGGGAGAAGCAGGTTCCCCGCTGAGCAGGGAGCCCGACGTGGGGCTGCATCCCAGGACCCTGGGATCATGACCTGAGCCGAAGGCAGACGCTTAATGACTGAGCCACCCAGGCGCCCCCAGAAGAGCCTGTTTCATAACGTGTGGAGTCTCAAAATTGAGTAATTCTTCATACTTGTAGAGGATGTGCTGCACCAACGTATAAAGGGAAATTTTTTTTTAACAAAATACTGTCCCGAGTGCCTTTCTGGTTTGTACTGCCTGTAAGGCTAGAGTTTGGGAAACAACCAAAACCATAGTCTGATCATAACTTGGCACCACTCTTGACACACACTCCCTCCAGAGGTCAAAAGCAACATAACTTCTTTATAAGATTCCTGGGATTTTTATCTCATAAGCAAAGCAAATGTCTTGTATAATACTACCTCTAGAATATGAACTTTCCTCGCTGCTGGAATTCTAAAACTTAATGCTCTGCTGGTCCCCTCTATTGGCAGATGATAGACGGACATGACAGCAAAAAAGTCAATGTCCAGTTTCTCCGCTCGAACATCGGGATTGTTTCCCAGGAGCCAGTGTTGTTTGCCTGTAGCATCATGGACAATATCAAGTATGGAGACAACACCAAAGAAATCCCCAAGGAAAAAGTCATAGAGGCCGCAAAGCGGGCACAGCTGCATGACTTCATCATGTCCCTCCCAGAGGTGAGGACTAGGTCAGAGTCCTTCCCTATGGGAGACGGGGATGGGTAGAGGTAGAATGGCCCGAAAGTGTTATGATTATGGCTCAAGGAGAGGGTCAAAGGCAACACGGGTCATTTCCTGGTGCCCCGGGATTGCCTCTGTCTTTTAAGCAAAATAAATATCTGTCATCAGCATACTCTTTAGTGTTGGAAAGTATTATATTATCCAGTGCAAAAGACGCCATGAAACTTATTGCACTTAAAGCACGACTACACTGAGCATCGGTGTAGCAAGGTGGGAAACAATCCTGAGATTTGGAGCAGGTACAGCTTTGAACTCAAACTCTGCCACTTACTAACTCTGTTACAGTCGCTTATCTTTTATGAGACTCGGTCATCGGCAAAATGCACAAAATAACATTAAAATGAAAGCATACACATAATAGCCATCCAAAGAAAACTGCGGCCATTATTATGGTCATTATCATGATTGCATTACTTGGCAGCATATACTGTGCGTGGTGGGGTGAGTTGCATCTGCCTTCGTGCTTCTCACTTTTCCAGAGCCAAGTTTGAACTTAGTACAATATTGACTCTGCATTTTTCCATCCACCAAGAGCCTCTTGGGGGTCGATCACAGAGAAAATTAACACAAGGAAATGAAATTTTAGGAAGCAAACTTTTCACCTTTTCCCCTTCTTTTAAATACCACTGGGAAATTACTTTTCTTTGTAAGTGATTATGTTTATAAATTTTGTGCTGTTTGTGGTGGGCTTTTTCCTTTGTTCTTTTTCACAAAGCCTCCTGTCTTAGCCTGGTTCTAGCCTGGGTAGTGTAATCCATAAGCATGTAGAAATTACTGAACGAAAAGCAAAGCTCGTGTGTCCCTGAGAGATTCATTTGTTCCACGAATCTTTGCTGAGCACGTCCTCATTTTGTGGGAGACAGTGGCTTGGAGGCAGTTTATGGCCTCTTTCTCATACAGATTTACCCATCGTACCCTTCACTGAGCACTGTCCCTCCACGAGGGCAGAGCAGGCTGTCAGAAGTCTCCCTTGGCTGGTTAGCATTTGTCAGGAAACAGGGGAAACGGGGAGGACACACGCTTGTTGTGGAAGGCAGGGGAGAGTAGTGGTCAAGGGCAAAGTCTCAGAAACAAGACGCACCTGGATTTAGAGTTCACCTTCACTGCTTTGTACTTGTTTGTCTTTGCACAATGTTCTTACCTGTCTGTGCCTAAGTTTTATAACCCGTAAAGTAGGGAGAAAATTATTTCTGTGAATGTTAAATGATCATCTGCCTGGAATAGTTAACACAATACCCAAAGCATGGTAAATATTCTGTGAATGTTAACTATTTTTTTATGTAGCCATGCCAGGCATCTAGTTAGGGATTTTCCTTCATAACGTCACCTAAAACAACAAATATATGAACTAGTTATTAATATCTGCATTTTTCAGACAAGTTGGCGCTCAAAGAAATTTAAATAATTTTTCATGCTAATAAGCAGCAGAGTGGAGTTTCGCACATAGGCTTGTGATCCAGAAGGATGCCTTCTCATAAGAGGATGAACCAGAAGATCTCGCAAAGGGCCCTTGCATCATTCCACCTTGGGAAGATCTTCCAGACAAGAGTTTGGAAATCAGGGAATTTTAAATCAGAGAGATCTCATAGACAGGGAAAAAGGAAAAAAAAAACAAAAAAAAAACAAACTTAAAATAAATGCAGAGAAGGGGACATAAAATCCCCTATTTTCCCAACAAACCCCATATTTTTCTTATATCCCTAAGTGGATTTGACATCCTTTAGAGAAGGACTCATTTAGTATTCCCAATTTCAAAAAACAAAAAAATTGTTTAAATCCACAGAGAGGTCCTTGAGGTGGGCTCCATACAGCATAGGAGCAATGACTGTTCCTGCGTCTCAAACTTACCATACTTTTTCCAGAAATATGAAACTAATGTTGGGGCCCAAGGGTCTCAGCTATCTCGAGGAGAGAAACAACGTATTGCTATTGCTCGGGCCATTGTACGAGACCCTAAAATCCTGCTGCTAGATGAAGCCACTTCTGCCTTAGACACAGAGAGTGAAAAGGTATGTATTGATTTTCTAAAGTCCCTTAGATCATTATAAATGAGGCTTTTGCTGTAATATATGCCCTTATAAAATGGCACTATTTTCAATTTCCTGATTCATGGACAGTATAAATGGCACTACTTGGTGGAACAAAAAGACAATAATCGAGAGGAAGTGAGGCAAAATGGGATTGTTTCAAATAAAAAATTGTATTTTAACTTTAAAATAAGAATTGTTTTTAAGACTGTCTAAGCTAGGTGACACTTTTTCAAGGGTAAGTAATTAGCTTTCTTAAGTGAAATAAAGTAATCTAGGTCATCTGTAAGGCATTTCATATTTTATAATTTCGAAGTTACACAGCAGAGCAGGTAGATAGCATACAACACAAAGTAAGAGGTGGTACCTAATGTGCAGCTTGCATGAAAGCAAATGCAATTGGGCAAAACAGAATGACGAAATTTACCATTTACAATTAACTCCTTAAAAATCAGGATCCATTTTGGAGAGAACTAAAATGTCCTCAATGAAGAACAGTATCAGTAATGACCACTTAACTGCTATCTTACACGGTTTCCTTGGTTTCATTTTTGCCAACTAGACCATCAAGTATTGTAAAATTACATAGTGACCTCCAGTTTGCTTCATTCTTGCTTCACTGAAATTTCTCAGCTTGTAGAACGCAATTGAAATCACTGATGCATTGCAGTCAGCAAATACGTGTGTCATCCTTGCCCTCCTGTCAAACCTTTGGGTTTAACCCCTGTTTATCACAATGTTACTCAAGTAGCGTTCAGCAGAATTCTTGCAATGTTGGGCCAAGGAACAAACGTGTGTCTTTGCATCAGCTTTCCACCTTCTCTTTGCAGATGGTGCAGGCCGCCCTGGACAAAGCCAGAGAAGGTCGGACCTGCATTGTCATCGCTCATCGTTTGTCTACCATCCAAAACTCAGATATCATTGCTGTCATGTCACAGGGGAAAGTGATTGAAAAGGGGACCCATGAAGAACTGATGGACCAGAAAGGAGCCTACTACAAACTCGTCACCACAGGAGCCCCCATCAGCTGAGCTGACTCAAGAACGTCGTGCACAGATGAGGCGCCAATTACAGGAGGGCCGTGGGTTTTTTTTTTTCTTTAAGGAGAAGTGATAATATTTTACTTTTACAGACATTGTCATACACTGGGATCCAAGCTAATTTCTAATGACCTTCAATAATATCTTAGTTTTAAAAATCTGTATATAGAAAATGAAAGAAACTAGGGTTAGTGTGAGTGAGAATCCAATGTCAAGCAGGTGCTCAGCCATTACCCAGTGGCTTTCTCCATGCAGAAGCCAGTCCCAGTTACTACATGGGAATCAACAAGAAGTCACAGAGTGAATGAGACTTTGAATTCCTCAAGGCAGAGGACTATCCTTCAAATTTTAGAAACTTCAGTGTACAGAGAGCCTAGTGCACTCACAATAGGCACTCAGTGCCTGTTTATCAAGCTGGACCAAGGTCATATGTGAAAAGAACAGGAGGACTGACAACCAACTATTTCTTGACTAAAGTTTTCTTGCAAGTGAAAGCAGATTCATTCATCTCTAAGGATGGGGACAGGAAAAGGAGGGCTCTCAGGCTGAGAAAGGCAGAAAGGGGCAAGTATTTGCAGGGACTTACCGGTTAGGAGTGTGGATTTATAGATTCAGGGTGTAGTAGGTGGGTGGTAGAGTCAACATTTACTGCACTACAATCTGCCAGTGTGGCTTTTTTTGTATAACACTATATGAAGCTACAAAAAAATAAAAGGCACTGTCTTCATTTCATGAATAGACTGGAGAGACAAAGGACAGCAACCTGGGACAAAGACTCTATCCCAGGCCTTTAATCCTTGTCACCACCCTCCGCATTGGTTGCCTGTATGGAAACAGAAGTACACACCCCTCCTGCAGCAGGATGGCTGCCCTTCTCTAATTCTAGCAAAAGAATTGGGGAAGCTCACTGAGAAACATGCACTTAGAGACCCAAGTCACATTTGAAGGGGTGGCTAAAGACAAGGGGATTGAATATAAAGTGATATATGAACAGAAAAAAAAAATTCCAGCTCCCTCCTCCTCTGGCAGGAGATTTTAGGAGTAGCCTCTGGGGAAACTGGCTAATCCAGTTAAAAGAAAAGAGACTATCTTTTATGAGGCATAATGAGGAATAATGAGGTATAAAAGAGACTATAGAAAAGAGACTATCAGGGGCAGAGATCCTCCACAGAAACTCCCCAACCAAATTACTCTACCTTGAAGCCTGCCTGCCAAAAACACATACCCATTGGCTTTTCAGTGTCTCACTCTTCCATAGGAATAGATTGTCAAGAATCACCAGGCATTAAGGAAATATTTTAACACAAAAAACAAAATGACAACAATAGAATGCCCAGAACAATGATATTAGAGGTAACAGAGCCAATGCAAAGATTTGGAAAACAGTCAAAGAATGCCAATAAATTCACATAATGAGATGAGGAGATATTCCCATCTATTTAAATAAAAACAAGAGTTCACAAAAATGAACATACAGATAAAATACAAAAAAAGAACTCTTGACAACTGAAGTGAAAAATTCAGTAGCAGTTCCTATCAAGTCGTCCTGCCCTCAAGATGTCTTCCTGCTCTATCTCTTTCCCAAATGCACTTGATGTATATATGTTTTCTTCCCATGGCCAACAAGTGAAATTCTGCCTACAAATTAAGCTTGAGCTGTTGTATAATGAGGTATATTATTTATGTGTCTGTCCAGTGTTTCCTGGTAAATAACCATAAAGGTGGTTTAGCAAGGTAACTAGGTAAGTCAGAAGAACTGATGGTTGCCAAGTCAGGGAGGGAGAGGGTGGAGGACAGCACTTTAGTTAAGTCATGAAAAATGGCAGAGACAAGTACATTGCAGAATAAAGATGCCTGCAAGAAGGAATTAAATTTTGCAGTATGCATGGGCTCATCCTGTAATATTGAAGAAAGGAGAACAAAATCCGTTTGTGGAAGTGCACATTTCAAAGAAGAACATAAGCTTCGTGCTGGGAGGCTGTCAGTTTCCTGGAGTGCAATGTGTGAGGTGTGAAAAATGAATGAACAAGAGTCATTTTTCAAATAAGGTACTTGAAAGTTATTGATGAGCGGGATAAGGTTGACAACAGAGGGCTTGAAATAATGTGGGAAAACAATTGTTTTTTGAGGCTCAGGGACAAGGTAAAGGATTATAACCTTAAAAATATAGAATAAATAAAGTTGCAAATTTATTTTACAACACCAGGGAGCGCCAATGTTTCCCTATCTATCCCACATCCTATGTCACTAGCAAAGATTTGGTCTCTGCAATTTTACATTATTAATGTTTCTCAGATAATGTGGGTACTTGCTTTCTCTGTTCTATCTGACACTTATCTCAAGTCTTTCTATAGTTTCTAATGTTTTCAGGATGGGTTCATGCTATAACCCCAAATAATAAAAGTTTACAGGAGAAAGAGTAATTGAAGGATTGGAAGACAAAGTTGGGGAAATTTCCCTGAAGGTAAGACAAAAATATAGAGCCAAAAAGTAGAAAAAAAGAAAAAGAAAAATTTTAGAGGAACAACCCAGGAGGTATAATAATTAGCTAATTGCAGTTCCAGAAAGAAAGATTAGAGGGGAGTAAATTATTAAATGGTCCAAAGGTATTTCCTATAACTGGAGAATATAAACTTTCAACTTGAATGGGTTCAACAAGTGTTGAATATAATAAATAAGTAAAGATCCTCTGTGGGCACACTATTAGGCAATCTTAGAAAACTGGGAAAAGAAGATAGTCAAATGTTCCAGGAGAGGGCGGAACATGTTACATATAATAAAGAATCATAATGACATAGAATCTCTTGACAATAACACTAAAAGTCAGAAGATGTAAAGATTTGCCTTCAAAATTCTGAGGGAAAATTATTTCCATTCTAGAATTCCATATCCAGAAAACTCTTCTCAGGAGTGAAAGAAGCCTAAAGAAACTCTCAGTCATGTAAGGTTTCAAAACTTTCCCTCCCCATACATCTTTTCTCAGGAAGCCACAGAAGGCTTTCCCTAAAATAAATGAAGAAGGAGGAAGATATGGGACCTAGGAAACAGGTGATCTAACTCAAGAATGAGGTGATGGGGGGGTGCCTGGGTGGCTCAGTCGGTTAAGCATTTGCCTTTGGCTCAGGTCATGATCTCAGGGTCCTGGGATTGAGTCTCCCTGCTGATCGGGGAGTCTGCGTCTCCCTCTGCCTCTGCCTCTCCCTCACTCTCTCCTTCTCTCTCTCTTGAATAAATAAATAAAATCTTAAAAAAAAAAAAAAGAATGAGGTGATGGGAATATCCAGGATGATTAGGAAGGGAAATCCCAGGAACCCGGTTTGCTGGAGACACAGTGAGCAGCCAAGCCTGACTGAAACAAGGAAATGAGGTTCCACAAGGGATGTGTCTAGGGAAAAATGTGATGCTGCTAGACTATGGTGACATTGCCCCTGGCAGAGTTTGCCGATGAGTTAGCAATGCAGAAAGACAGAGAGAGAGAGAAAGAGAGAGAAGATTATTAACTATTAACTCTGGAGTAAAAGAAAACTTATACATGAAAGGAAATATATTTATATTACACTACATGACCCACCCAAGAATGTTATTTACAAAGCCATATCAATGTAAATGCTGAATGCTGATCTAAACCCAAATTAGAGACAGGTTATGGAAAGGGAGAAAAAAGGTGTGGGGAAGCTTGCATAGCTTCTACCATGAGGATCTGTGTGTATTCCTCATATTCCTTGGGTATGGGTGTATTCCTCATATTCCCTGGTAGAAATTAAACACTTAAAAATTTAAACAAATTTAAACAAATGTCAATTTGTTTAAATTAAATTTAAAAAATTTAATTAAATTTAAAAATTAAATTTAACAATTAAACTTAAAAAATTTAAGCAAATGTCAATAAAACATATTGCTTTAAGAGACAAAGGTAAGGGGCGCCTGGGTGGCTCAGTCGTCAAGGGTCTGCCTTCGGCTCAGGTCATGATCCCAGAGTCCTGGGATCGAGCCCCACATCGGGCTCCCTTCTTGGCAGGAAGCCTGCTTCTCCCTCTCCCACTCCCTCTGCTTGTGTTCCCTCTCGCTGTGTCTCTCTCTCTCAAATAAATAAAATCTTTTAAAAAAAAAAAGAGACAAAGGTAAATATAATCTTTTATGTCAATTATATCTCAATAAAGTTAGAAAAAATAAGTTTTTTAAAAAGATGAACGTAAATACCAAAAGAAGCAGCTGAAAGATTTATGTACATGTATATCTTAAATTTAAAAATAAAGTTAAAAAGTTAAAACAAAAGGACAAAAAATATAGCACAGAGGCACAATATTTAAAACAGTAGATACCGAACTGGATTTGAAAGACACATCACAGGAAAAGGGGAGTCCAAAATAGATTCACCAGGAATCCCAGTTGTCATAGTGCATGCTAAATTTCTAATCACAAAAGTGAGCATGGTTCTCTCTTCCTGCGTTACTCAGAATAACTTGGAAATAATCTAAAAGCTCAAAAAAAGAGGATGGGGAAAAGATAAAATTAGTTGAGACACCTATATATAGTGATGTTTACCATGAAGCCAACAAAATGATGATATTGACCTATATTGTTTTTGTGGAATGATGTCCATTATATGTTGTGCAGAAGTGAGTTTCTGATCATTATGAGTGGTATGATGCTCTGTCCATCTCTCTCTCTCTCCCTCTATCCATACACACACACACACACACACACACACAGATATACATACACACACACCTCACACATCTGTTATGTGTGTATATGTGTCTGTGTTTATGAGCTTATATGTACCTGTATGCATAAAGAGATATCTGGAAAGATTTCTACCAAAATTTTGGCAGCTTTTATTTCCAGCCATTTGTCCTCTACATGGACAAAGCTCCCTGCACATACTAAATGTCTGTGGTCCTTGAGGACTGGGACTGTGTTTGGTTCCTAATATCCCCAGTAATTTACTCAGTACTTGGTATAAAGTGATAGCTCAATACATCATGGTTGAATAATCATTTTAAATTTTTACAAGTAGTCAATAATTTGTCAGCCCCAAGACAACTAACCCATTAAGTTAGAGCAGTGTCTTCCAATAAAAATATGAGTCACTAATGCAAACTACATCAGTACTTTTAAATTTTCTAGTCACAGTAAGGAAAAAAGAAACAGGTGAAATTAATGTTAATAATATATCTCATTTAACCCAATATATACAAAACATTATTAATACATGTAATCAGGATAAAAATTATTAATAAGATAGTTTCCTTCATCATATTAAATATTCAAAATCAGATGTGTATTTATACTTACAGCACAGCCCAGCTCTGACTAGCCACTTGTCACGTTCCTGCTAGCTACATGTGACTGAAGCTACTATATTGGAAAGACAGGGTTAGAATATCCAGTTTCATGAATTTCCTGGTTTGGGCCTCCATTGATCCTACATGATTTGAGTCTTACAAAAACATGAGCCCAGCTTCTCCCTTGGAACATGTTCTTATACCATACCTGGAAACTTAGTAAAACTTGTTTCAGTTAAAGATCATGACGCATTTGGACTAACTAGCATTATGATAAGACCTAGCAGAAACAAACATTCTGATGTCAGAAGTTACAAACAGAATCATATTGGCCCTTATCAGAGTGATTAAAATTCTTTACATCATTTATTTTACTTGATTTACCTGTTTGAGTTAACAAAGAGAGAAAACTAAGATTGTTTAATGTAACACAATATAACTGCA